CAACAAATAAACACCAGTTTGGGGTTATGTCGTCGTCGGCGTTAAATATCTGTAAAATCGGCCGGTTTAACTTTATTATGTGAAACGAAGTGCTATTATGAATAAATATGTAGTTGTGGATGTGTTTGTGTACTTCACTGTGAATAAAAATAGGCCTACGTTCTTTGGCCCATAGCCCAAGCTATGGCCAACACATAGGCCTCGGAGTAGGCTATTGTGGTTTAAAATCGGGTAAGTTCTGGTGTTCATTTATTCGTAGTACGTTTTTACCCCCCTTAAAATTTGGCACCTTACAAAGGTTATACGGTTTACCAACAGGGTGCAGCACCATTAGTTCTTTAAACATTTATGACAACAGCTAATTTGAAGCAAGCAGCAACAAAAAAGCTGTGAGAACTTTCATTTTTCTATTGATTAGGTGCAGTGGTAGAGCATGGCTATGGTAAACAAGATGTATTATAGTATACAGTAGTAAATCATAGTAAACCAAATATTCCTAAAACGTGTCCTCTCCCATTGAAAACGCAAAGCACGAGTATTTAACTACAATAAGCATCAGCTAGTATATACATATAGACAATAGACAATAGACAATTAATCTTTATTTACACATTCATTAAGAATAGTAGTAGCGTCAATTTACAATTTTTTCTAAATATGTGGTTGAGGTGTTGTTTAGTCAAAGATCTGTTGATAGTATTCTTTTAAAGAGTAAAAAGGTCGATTAATGAGCCATTGATGCAAAGCTGGTTTGAGGTCATCTTCTGTCTTGCTTCTTAGATCTGGAGGTAGCCTGTTGTAGATTTTCATTCCTGCGTATGAAGGTTTCTTTTCAAACTGTGCCGTGCGATTTTGTGGAAGGTGTTTCTCAGGTTGTGTTGGTGCATTTCGCCACGCCTTGTTGTTATTCCTTACTGCAAATAACACAACTTCCTGTATGTAGAGTGCTACAATGGTAGGTACTTTGAGTGACCTGAATGTTTCCCTGCAGCTGTCGAGTCTGTGGAGTCCTGCAGTTATTCTGACTGCCTTTTTTTGTTTTGTGAGAACTCTTTGCATGTTAGTGGCAGAGGTTCCACCCCATGCTACAAGTCCATACCTCATGTGCGACTCAAAAAGTGCAAAGTATGCTACTTTTGTTATGATGTCATCTGTTGCATTTTTTATATGTTTAAGAGCATAGATGCTTGAACTTAATTTTTTACATATATTGTCCACATGAGGGGTCCAGGTTAAATTCTTGTCGAGTGTGATGCCCAAAAACTTAGCTTCATCTTCCACTTCTACATCTGGAAGTCGTGGCACTTCATTAGATTTACGGCCAAAAGCTATTTGAGTTGTTTTAGACATGTTTACTGCGAGATCATTGTTGTAGTATTGGTAGGCCATACTGAGTAACACATAGGATTTTACTATAAGACAATAAGACATTTTATTGACCGTTAAGTAAATACAAAATACAATAGGTCTTGTCAATTTAAAAAATAGGCCTAATAAGTTAGCTACATAAAATAAGAAATTAAGAAATTATGGCGAGTCAGGTACAGTGTGGTATTGGCTTAAGGACTATTAAACAAACATGAATCATAAATAATTTAAAGACAAAACAATTAATAAACATTTCAGAACAAAATAACAAAACAAGCCTAAACTATCACAATTTCTCGCTCAAAGTATTCATCCACCGAGTACATGGGATTTTCCTGTAGCCATTTGTAAAATTTAGTTAGAAACATTTTATCAGACTCTAAATTGACTAGGCAAGTTGGTAATTTATTGTATAATATCACAGCCAAATAATCATGATATTTTTGTGCCTTACCTAACCTACATCTAGTAATATCTATTTTGTCCCTAAATCTAGTATTATATTCATGAACATCACATCTTAATCTAAAATTATCAATATTTTTTCTTAAATTTCTAATGACTTCGAATATATACAGATTTATCACAGTTAAAATACCAGTTTGTAAAAACAAAGGTCTGCAGTGTTCTGACTTTGATTCATTTGCCAATATTCTAATAATTCTTTTCTGCCTAATTAAAACTCTATTAATGCCTATACCGTTTCCCCAAATGATAAGACCATATCTCAAAATACTCTCAAAATAAGCAAAGTATGCCATCCTAAGGTATGTAACAGACACAAATCTCTTTAAATTACTCAACAAACAAATTACTCTAGACAATTTTTTACACACAAAATCTATATGGTCTTTCCACTTTAATTTACTATCTATAATTACTCCAAGCAGCTTTACACTATCAGAACAATCAACATTACACATTTCATTGTTTAAGGACACCAACATTCTTTTTGTTTTATCCTCATTAATAAAGAGACCATTTACTGTGAACCAGTGAACAACCTTCTGAAAGTTAATCTGAGCATCATGAATTAGAGCATCTGAGTTACTATGACATGAAACCAAGGAAGTGTCATCAGCATAAACACAGGAAAAACAATTTACATATTGGCTAACATCATTCATTAAAATTAAAAATAAAACTGGTCCGAGAATTGAACCCTGCGGGACTCCTTGGTTGATCTCTACAACCATTGAGCGTTTACCATTGACATCTACCAACTGTGTTCTGTTTTTAAGATACGATTCAAAAAACTTAAGCTCTAAGTCTTTGATGCCATAGAATTCCAACTTTTTTAGCAAAACTGGGTGTGAGACACAATCAAACGCCTTACTCAAATCGCACAATGTGACCAGGGCCTGACAGCTACCCTCCAAGGCTGATATCAATTGATTGACTAACCTATCAATTGCCATAACTGTTGATCGCCCCTCCCTGTACCCAAATTGACAATCATTAAATAGCTTATTTTTTTCAAAAAAACTACAAAGTTGATGCTTGACAATTTTTTCTAAGATTTTGGCAAAAATAGGAATACAGGATATTGGACGATAGCTTGCTGCCAAACTAGGTTTACCTTTCTTATAAACAGGTACAACTCTTGAAAACTTAAGAACTTTTGGAAAAACTCCTTCAAAAATACTTCTAGATTTTCAGCTAGTGGTTCATTAAACACTTAGGTTGTGTCATCAGCATACATAAGAGTAAGGTAGGCGTCTCCTATTTGTTGCGGCAAATCGTTGGTAAAAACAATAAATAGTACCGGACCCTTAACAGACCCTTGGGGAACTCCTCGATTTATTGGTTGAAAACTTGACCAAAAATAAATAAAAAGTAAATAAATAAAAATAAATAAATAGGCTATGTATTTGTGTATAAATGAGTTTTGAGTATATTGCTGTTTAAAGTGGTGCTAAAAGTGACTGAAAGCCGTTTAAACACTTTGTTAATGATCTATTATTTAACTCAGTTATAGTGGCTCACCAGTTTGAATTCAAATGTGAGCTCCAGCTGCCGTATTAATCATAATCAAGGCTGTAGGCTTGCCTGCATATCAATCATGTAGGCTTGTGTATGGTAATCCATAGTAGATATACTTTAGAAAGTTTAAGTTAGGCCTACATTGTTTCAATGCAAAACATTTTATGATCTTTTCCTGCAGTGATATTCTTAAAAACAATTTCATAAGTAAATTAGTAAAGTTTGATAAGTCATCCAATGAAGACCTATTATGTGTGACCATTAAAATAACAAAATAGGCCTTATTTAAAATTTAACAAAATAAAATATGGCAGTAAAGGACTAATTGTTCAGTTTAAAGTAGAACATTTTTTGGATTTATTGTTCATTACCACCACAAGAATTTCTTTAAAATATTTCTGACATAGTAGTATGGGCTATATGTCTTGCCTTAGTTATAGACTTTAGACCATTAGTTTAAAATGACCAATAAGTAGAAACATCCAAGGCTATTTAGAGAAGTTACAAAATAAATTATAGTTGAAAGGTACCAATAGTTCGAACCACGAATAAAAGTAAGAGTATATTTTCTCAACAAATATCAGTGATATGCCTACATACTTTTTCATGTAGGCATATCACTGACGTTATATACTTTACCTTTATTTAATTTAAATGATCATGGGTGTTAAATAGAAACGAGACCTGGGTTTACACTGTCTCTTTACTGAACATATTAAAAGTGCCACAAAGTATAGATAGATAGCTATATTCATTATAAAATATAATAAAATTGCCTTCTTCATGAAAAAAATAAAACTAGAGAGAGATCAAATAAGCCCTGTAATAAACTTTGTTTTCCAATTATTGTTTGTAACTGAGTTAGTATGAAATGAATCACATCACAAAATATGATTGCTAGATCAAATAAATTGATGTCAAGTGGATGATTTGAATGTCAAACATCACTTAGTATCAAATCACTCTAATATGATGCAAAACACTCTGAATTGCTATTGCATTCAAGTGCTTGATAGTATAATACTTTGGAATACAACCTACTATATTAAAAAAAAGATTCATAAAACAATTATTTTCCAATAAAATAATGTATGGATATAAAAAATTATAATTATGTCACCTTTTATAACTTAAGTTTTGGTTCTTTTAGACGCATACTTTGTTTACATATTAAACTGAACATGAATATACAGGGCTAGTATGAAACAGATTTAGTCAACCTTAGTTAGCTTTCGTACTGACCAGGATCGGCTGGTCTTCGCCAGGATTATGTAGCGTCAGCGGTACAAGAAGTCTAGTAAAATCCTTCAAAATATCTGGAAAAAACACTTAAGCCTACTGTAATCTTTTTTGTTTGAAAAAAATTAACATTTGTACCAAAAATCACCTTAAGTTGCTAGTAAATGTATAATGGGATAGTTTGGGTTCTTACGGTGTGATACTTTGCACATGGACCATGGACATGAAAAACACAAACATTTAGTGACAAAACAAGAAGTTAATACTGTAACTTCTGTACTTCTGCCATAAAAAGAGTGTGAATACCAAACTTTGTGTTTCTAGGTGCCATAGTTTGATATCTTTTTTGCTTTTATTTAAGGAATGTTACTAAAGCAGGTGTAACGGACACATGTTATGTATGTTGGTAGCATTGTCGGAGAAGGAGTGCGGTTTGTGGTTGCGTGGACTACGTCACCTAGTGCAGGACACCATGAATGCACCGTACCCACTGCAAGTCGAGCGGTGGCTACGCAAGGAGTTTTACACAATGGAAAACAACAGAGAAATGTAAGTAAACATATTCTCTGGTGTCTGTAGATATTTTGATAAGTAGAAAGTTTGTGTCTTGAAAATTGCATCTAATGCTAAGATAACATAAATTACCTTTTGTGTGAATTTGCTGGTGGCAATTTCTCATTTTTTGGAAGGAATTAGCTCCTTACCCTGTTCTTGTTCGGGGTCGATCCTCATAAACCAGTTAGGAGATTTCATTTCATTTCATTTCATTTCATATAACTTTATTCATTTAAGTACAATACATAGATACAGGAATGGCGTCAAGAGTAATTTATTAAAACTAACTAACTAAAATACTCATCATTATCATGCATGGCATAATAACATACCATCAATATTAATAGCTTTTCAGATCAAATAAATTAAAACAAGCAGTGCAATATGAAAGTTTATACATGAAAATATCAAAATTAAAAATATAGATAAAATTATTTTAAAACCAAAAGTTTCAATTGATATTAAACAGAGCAATTAATAACTTAAAGAACTAAAACTCTTCAAAGGAGTACATAGCCTTGTTGATAAGAAACTTTTTCAATTTTGATTTAAATTTATTTTTGGAAGTTTCTAATTTGATTTCTTTAGGAAGTTTATTATAAAATTTGGAACCGGCATATTTAGGTGTCTTCGTAAAAAGTTGCAGAGTATGTGAGCTTGTGGCCAGGTTTTCTCGATTTCTAGTGAAGTAATTGTGATAGTCTCCAATAAGTTGTAATTCATTAAATCTGTCCTTTACTGATAATACTGTTTCATAGACATACATTCCATAAACAGTCATAATATTCTCAGTTTTAAAATATTCTTTGACTGAAGTTCTGCGTTTTAAATTGCACAAAATTCTAATAGCTTTCTTTTGCTTTTTTAGAATTGATTTTAATTTTTTCTTTTTTGCTGCACCATAAAGTGAAACTCCAAATGATATGATTGAATGTATGTACGAAAAATATATAATTTTTAAAGTTTCCTTTTCACATAGGGGTTTTAATCTTGTTAGCGCATAAAGGCCAGATGAAATTTTAGAAAGTAACTGATCAATATGATGATTCCACTTCAAATTTTCATCAATTTCTAATCCCAAGAATTTAATGTGGTCTTTATTTTGAATTATGTTGTTATTAACTACAATTTTTGGCAGATTTTGCGGTTTAGTTTTTCCTGCTTGGAAACACATAAAATTAGTTTTATCTGTGTTCAAACGCAAATTATTCGAATTAAAAAAACTGTTAAGTAATAATATATCAGAATTGGCCTTGGCTTCAAGTTCAGCATAGGTTCCTGCGGCTATTTTTAAATTTGCATCATCAGCATATAGGCAAAGCTTGCTAAAATCACTGAGTTGAGGAAAATTTCTCAAATAAAAGATGAATAAAAGAGGGCCTAGGATCGATCCTTGGGGCACCCCATATTTTACTTCCCGAGTACAAGAATTGTAAGAAATTTTATAATTTTTGTTATTACAGTGACTCAGTTCTACGTATTGTTTCCTATCAAAAAGATATGACTTGAACCAGTTCAAAGCAGTACTATTTAGTCCACTACTACTGAGCTTTGAAAGCAACAACTCATGAGAAATTGAATCAAAAGCTTTACTGAGGTCCATGAACAACCCTACCACTTTAGATTTACTCTCTAAGCTATCAACGATGGATTCAATGAAAGCTGTGGCAGCTGTTATGACAGATCTACCACTTCGGAATCCATGTTGGCAGTCATCAAATGTACCATTATTTTCAAAGAAGCATACCAGTTGGTTATAAACAACCTTTTCATAGATTTTTGAAATTGAAGGCAGCAAAGCAATCGGTCTATAGTTTGATACTGTTTGTCTGTTTCCTTTTTTGAATAGCGGTTTTAATTTTGTTATTTTGAGTTTGTTAGGGAAAATTCCTGATATCAAAGATGAGTTAATGAGATGAGTTATTGGTTTAAGTAGGACTGATTTCGCTTTTTTAAAAAGAACCACAGGAATACCATCGTAGCCAGCACTATAGGAATTTTTTAGACTTTTAATAATTTTATCAATGTCGCTCTCATCAACAAAGCTAAATTTAAAGCTCCTTTTATCTAAAGGAAGTACAGGATGCAGTGTGTCATCAACATTTTTTTGGAATGTATTTATATTATTGCAAGTTTCAGTTTCTGTTACAATATCTGCAAAATAATTTATGAATTGGCCACAGACCAGGGAAGGGTCAGAACATACATCATTATTTACTACTAGGTTTATATTATGATTATTAATAGTTTTGGCTCCTACTTCAGAGTTCACAATCTTCCAAGTTGCCTTATTAACATTGTCAGAACTACCAATTTTTCTTTTATAATACTGTTTTTTTGAAGAAAACAATTTCTTTCTAAACTGCTTATTTGTTTCTCTAGCCTCATGTAACAACTTTTTGCAATTTAACTCTCTAGCCGCTTTGTTAAGATTAATAATATTTTGTCTTTCCAACTTCAGTTCATTAGGAATCCACTTACAGTTAGTATGTTGTCTTGAGAGAGTTGATGGAAAGAATGTATTAAAATAATGCATAAATATTTCATAAAAAACATCATACTTGCATTCCACAGGACATAAATAAAGATTAAGCCATGACTCATGTTGTAAAGCAGATATAAATTGTTCGACGTTTTTATCATTAAAATTTCTTTTATGTTCAAAATAAACAGAAGAATTATTCAGGCTATTTTTCGTATTAGTAAAAACTTCAATTATTTGGCCATCATGGTCCGAAAGTTGTGTATTAATACCTGTAATTTTATAACAGCTGCTATCTAAATTTGTAAAAACATTATCTATTGCAGTTTTAGTTGTATCGGTGATTCTTGTAGGAAAATCAACCAATGACTGGAAGCCATTAGCTGTTACAACATGCAGTAAGTTTTTCCTGCTGGTGTCATTTAAGTTCAGCATATCAATATTAATATCTCCCATAAAAATAACATATTTATATTTAACACTGATTATTTCAAGCATTGTATCGAGTCGTTTAATAAACTCAGATTCATTTTGCTTAATTGGATTCCTGTAGAAACCAATTATAATAAGCTTTTTCCTGGGGATAATTTTATCTACCTCTACTAAACAACACTCAAAAATTTGTTCAGTGACAAGATTTTGGATTTCAGGTATTATAATTTCTTTAAAAGTAAAAAATGGTTTTGCTAAAATAATTACGCCACCACCTCTAGATTTTTTCCGCCCAAAACTGGCAGCAACATTGTAACCATTAATATTTAATCTTTCCAGAGAAGAACTTATCATTTTATGTTCTGTCAAGACAACAATACTAGGTGTTAGTTCAGTTAGAGTTACTTCTAAAGGTTCAATTGATGATTGCAACCCTCTAATGTTTTGATGAAAAATACATAAATTGCTTATTCTAACGTTACTTTTACAATGGGGGCTGCTTGATCTACTAAAAAATTAATGGTATCGTTTTGAATTGCAGAATCTACCTCTAAATTTAACAATTGTGGTACATAACTAGCTTTATTCACTTCCACACTTGGCCTATCACTTTTGCTCTGCTTTAGCAACTCACAGAAGGTGAAGTTGCCGGGCACTACTTTGATCACATTCTCATTCACAGCTGCCACTGAAGGTCGTGATGGTGGGGTAGGTGTCAGCGTCGAAGGTGTTGGTAGGGCTGCTGAAGGTGTTATTGAGGCAGGCGGTGCTGGACAGGTCGATGACGGGTCTGGGCTCCTACAATCTATTGTTGTATATGGTGTTTGCTGGACAGGTGATCTTATGCAGGCTGCTATCCTATCCTCTAATGATTCAGCACTGACATTCACTTCTTCATTTTTATTAAAGTTGTTATCAATCAAAGACTGGATTCTGTTGTTAAATTCACTATGTGTTAAGCCATTTCTTAGTTGTCTAAGGGACTCTTGGTAGTATGAAACAATAGTTACTCTCGCTCCTGTAGTTTCTTGAAAACTTCTGAGGTTACTGAAGAAATGGGGTAGCGCTACTTTATCTCTTACGCATCCGATGGGAGAGCATATAAGATGTTTTAGCCCTTTGGTTTTGAAATCTGTAGTCAAATCTTTAAAAGCTGTTGTGTAGTCAGATATGTCCGGTTTACCAAAATAGTTGGCTTTTGTAACCAAACTGTAAACCGTAGCACAATGCAAAGTGGATTGCACTGCTAGATGTGATGAAATGCAGTGGTGCGATTCTGGTCTGCCAAAGTGTCGCCTAAAGACAACTGCCACTCCTGCTGTCATGTGACGTGGATGGTTAAAATCAGCTGAAATACTGTGTGCGAACCCTACTGATTGGTCATGCTGGTAATTTTTAATAACATCAAACATAGGTTTTTCAGTTAGATGGATTTTAAATTGGTTTGAAGCTTTAGTGTCAGTAAAATCTGCAGGGATAGTGTTTGCAAATGCAACCTTATGATTGTTTTTCAGATCATCAATCACCTCCTTTAAGTTGTCTTCAGTCTCAATCAGTTTTGGGATTGAGGAGCTGGCTGGAGAAACCATTGGTGTACTGCGGGAAATACTCCGAGGCTTTTTAGCATACCAAAGAGAAACAGCATCTATTATTATATGGGCTAATTTGTTCTTACCCCTACCATTGAGATGGAGGCCATGATTAGTGAAGTCCGGTCTCTGAAATCGGTTAAGATTAATTAAAGTTACATTGGTTAGCCTTTTGGTTAATTCTTCTATGTAGTTGTTTACCTTCCTGATTTCAACATTCTGGTAACTGTGTGCTGGTAAGTCGTGTCTTGCTGGTATTGTGCAGATGAAAACTTGTCTGTTGTTGCTTAAAGAAGAAAGTTTTTTTCCAAATTTCCATAAATATCTGTGAAATTATTCTTCAAGCTGTCATTGCTTCCTCCGAGTAATACCACTGTATTTTCTTTTTCAATTTGTGCCGAATCCACTACTTGTGTTAATGTTGTGTTAGCTTCGATAGTTTAGAAGTAGATTCAGCTGCCCATGATCATAGGGCTTGGTCCTGGCTGAAGAAACATATGGTTTTAGTCAGTAAAGCTGCATAAGATCTTTATTCTTCACTCATCCCTTGCTCACATTCAGCTTAAAATACAAGCCAAAATAATAAATGTATAACCATATAGTATCCAATACTACAAGAACATATAAAATGACTGCGACAGCAAGAATGAACAAGTAATATATATCTTTTACTATAGTTTTTAGTCATTTTAAGACATTTTAGTTACCTCTTATCAGCTCGCCAGCAATACTTGAATCTGTCAGTGTTGTAGGCCTACTGTTTTTATTTATCAACTGGCTGTGTCTCCGTGTAACTGTTATTGCCTCTGATATATTTATCCAGGAAAATTTTTGCCATTTGTTAGTAATTTCAACCCTTGAAACTCTATGATTTACCATACTCGGTGATTTAACGTTGCCTAGTTTTATCACATTATGTGGTTGTTGTTGTGCCTATCGGATCTAGATCAAAAAGTTGGAATTTATTATTTCAACTAAAAGCCTTCTGAGACACTTGACATAATCACAAGTTTTGGCATTATGATGAATTGTATGGATTGATTATTAACAGTGTTATATGAATGTAAAATTGTGTACATTTTTCAGAGTTACCCTTAAGGACCTCAAAGGTTTCCTGCCTCGAGTCAATTGTAAAATATCAACAAATAGATTAAGAGAACTGTTTCAAGAAGTAGATGTTCGGAAAAGGAACGAAATAGGATTTGATGATTTCGCCGAGCTTTACCACAAGCTTATGTTTGATGAAAGTGTAAGTACAGGAGTCAATAGTTCTTAGAACGTAGTAGTAAGGTAAATTAATTGTGATATGTTTAACTAAAACTAAGTGTTTAGCAGCTTTGTGGAAGAAGTAATTTCTATACCTTGAAGAGAAATTTAGTCTATGCGACAGTGAAAGATTCAAAGAATCTCAGTTGCCTAACTGCACCCTCTCAGCAAAATTTAAAATTTATTTTGTTACCTTCACTAAACTAAATTTACCTCTTCCTCATGTTAGGCTCTTTTTGATCTGAATAATAAAATCTTGTAACCAAAGAAGACCTAATTCATAATGATGTTTATGTTTCACTACAACTATTGTTCACATGCTAGTTGTGATACCGGCTGTTTAGTACTACAATTAATTAAATTATGATAGAATATTACAATAAACAATCTCTCCCTTAAAAAAATAAGTAATATACTTTTTTATACTCAATTCCACATTCACCATGCCTTATGGGAGATAGTAGTACTATTATAATTACTGAAAATATTGTTTTTATTCGCATTTGGATCACATCAACTGTCCTCAGGACCCTCATAAAAACGCTAAAGAACATTTGACTTATTTTAGTAAATTTCTGCTTTCCATAAGTCAACATTTTAACTTAATAAAGTGTTACTTTGGTATTTCTAAACTTACTATAGAAGTAAAAAGGAACGAGAAAAAGTAAAAAAGTCATGAAGTGCTTCGAGGGTATTGAAACTTATGGCAGCTTTGTCGAGTAAAAAAGTATAGATCCTCGAGTTTGAGCTTTTATTGCAACGTAACTAGTAGACTTAGAAAAATACAAGTAACATAATTTTTTTTTTCAAATTTATTTCCGCGTATGTGTGTTGCTTTTAAGTTTTATAAGGGGTTTCAACTCAGCCTTTCAGGGGGTTGAATGATACACGAATGATACATGTTGAATGAAACTTTGAATTCGAATGACGTCACTGAAAAAAGTGAAGAAGAATCCAATAAAACCTTACATCATCAAACTGACGAAGATATTAGTTCGGAAGAAGAAGAAGAAAACATGACTTTAGAAGAAAAAGGTTTGTCAAATCAACAGGGTAGAGGACGTAATCATGATGGCAATGATATCAACTGGAAACGAGTTGGAAATAGAAATAGGAGGAAACGAAACTCGTCCGTCCATAATCAAAATCAAGATCAAGGACTTGCATCAAATGTACGAAATGCAGAGAACGGTGCTATGAAGAAACCAAGTTATGCGTCTGCTGTGAAGAATAGCGTAGATGCAGCGGTCAAAAGGAAGAACTTCATTAAGAAAACATCGTCTGCACACAAGAATCAAATACTGGTGGGTTCATCTGAGGACAACGGTCTAAGGGGAGCTAAAAAGGCATGGTTTCATCTCGGAAAACTGGTTAAAGGAACAACTGAGGAGGACGTCCGTAGTTTCGTTGACAAAGTCTTCCCTGGTGTTGAGTTTGTGATAGAAAAATTGACCACTAAAGGGACCAACGATAGTTTCAAATTGGGCTGTGATTTTGCCTATATGGCCAAAGTAATGGACAGTGCTATGTGGCCGAAGAATATAACCCTCAAGCGTTTTTTATTTTGGAGGGTGGGTCAAAACCCGGAAACATAGAACTAGGCCTAAACTCAAGAACTTGTTTGTCACCTCCCACCACTGAGGACAATATTTTAAAAGTAGTGGGTTTAATGTACAGTGTATTAGGACTAAGTTAAATGTGCTATCTCTATTTATTAACAAAGTTAGGCCTGCCATTTTTTGTATCTCTGAGCATTGGCTGAACATTGACGAGAGTTTATTTTACTCAAAGCTAGAATATATGACGCTTGCTTCAATTTTTTGCAGAAGTAACGTAGGACATGGAGGTAGTGCAATTTACGTTTCGGAACATCTGACTAAATCCATTAAAACTATAGATTTGAATAGATTCTGTGTAGAACTATGCCTAGAGGTGTGCGGCATCAGTATTCCCGAGTTATCCCTAACTATTTTATCAGTTTACCGTTCCCCTGATGGGAACTTGGAAGTTTTTTTTGAGTCTCTTGAGAACTGTCTTGTGTATCTGTCACAAACTGACTACAAAACTATACTGTGTGGTGACTTTAACATCCACCTGGAAGAACAATCAGAGGAAGAGCGTGTCTTCACTGATCTGCTGTTGAGCTGCGGACTTTTTATTGGGAACCGTCTGCCAACTAGGGGGACTGCCTGCCTGGACACCATGGCTACCAGTCTGAACGTGTGGGACTACAGCATTGAGGTAGTGGATGCCATGGTAGCGGACCACGATGCCGTTGTCTCTAGGGTAAACTCCGGTCCAACCTCGGTGAGTCCAAATCCAGTTTCTTGGCATAGAAATTATATCTTTAGTCATAGAAAGGTAAAAGATATAGATTTCCATAGATTTAGGACAGCTCTTGAGCTAACTGATTGGGTTAACTTTGTACAGTATTGTGAATTCCTACAGCCTCATGAAGCATTCTCTGCATTTCTTGAAATATTTGATAGAATTTTTAATGAAATTTTCCCCTCTGTAAATTACACCAAAAGTGTAGAAACCAAAGCTAAGCCTAGGAGGATTGCGTCTCATAAAGCATGGTATACAGATGACCTGCATAGGATTAAAATGTATGTGGTTCTGTACAGGGACTTGATGAATTCAGCATCATCTAATGAGGAGTTTGCTCATTGGAAAACAATATATTTAAGAATAAATCGATATTACCGTAACATGGTTGACAAAGCTAAAAGAAATTTCAATGCAAGGTCTATTGAGATGGCTCACAACCCCCAGAAGGCTGCCTGGGCACTAATTAACCAACATAGAAATTCTGCTAAGCCTAAGTCTAATGCTAGCCCTGATGAGTTTAACAAATTCTTTATTCAGAACATTAATGAGATTGTTGACAATATTAACCTCACTTCTCAAACTCTTGATAGCTCATCCTTATTAAGAGCTGGAAATCGGTCGAGACAAATACCTACTATGTCAACCTGGAGGCTGGTTACTCCGGAAAAAATCTGCCAAATAGTTAAGGGCTACAAAAACTCTCATAGTCCTGATGTTTATGGTGTGTCCTGCCACCTACTCAAGTCAGTTATTGATGTGATCTCTTTTCCTTTGGCCTGGCTCATAAATTCTTGCTTAAGTAAGGGAGTATTCCCGGACGAGTTAAAGATATCTAGGGCAGTGCCAATTTTTAAGAAAGGTGACCCCCAACTTTTGACCAACTACAGGCCTGTAGCCTTGGTTCCAGTCTTTGGTAAAATCATGGAGTCAATTCTCAACGAACAACTGGTGACTCACTTTGAAGGGAACGATATAATACTAAGTGCCCAACATGGTTTCCGCAAGGGGCGATCAACTGTATCGGCTGTGCGATCATTAGTTGGTCAGGTTATGGAGGCCTTTGAGGCTGGCGACTCTCTGGGACTGGTGTTGTGTGATCTAAGCAAAGCCTTCGACTGCGTTTCTCACGAGATACTTGTTAGTAAACTCAAACATTATGGAATAACGGGGATTGCTCTTAACACCTTGCAATCGTATCTGAGAAACAGGAAGCAGGTAGTGGAAGTTGAGGGTGCTCGATCAGAAGAGCTTAGTTTGCGACATGGGGTTCCTCAAGGGTCTGTGCTTGGTCCCCTTCTCTTCGTCATTCTTGTCAATGATTTAGATCTTCAGGGCCGCTCACTTTTATATGCGGATGACACTACCCTGCTGGCAAGGGGAAAGGACATAGATCAAATACGTCTGGACTCAGACAGATTACTTGACGAGGCCAAGAATTGGTTTGTGAGCAACAAGTTGCAGCTCAACGATGATAAGACTCAGCGACTCATTTGCACTCTGAAGACGACTGATGCTGGGAACCCCTTGAAGCTCCTTGGCTTCTGGATTGATCCGAAGATGTCGTGGGGTGAACACGCAACTCAGGTCTGCCATAGGCTTTCTAGAGTCCTCTTTTTGCTAAGGAAATTGAAAAAATCAGTGCCAGTGGATTTTTTGGTATCGGCCTATTTCGCCCTGTTCCACAGTCATATCTCATATGGGTTGTTGTTATGGGGACACTGTCCAAAGAGTCAGAAGATTCTGCGGCTCCAGAAGAAAGCAGTGAGGCTTTTGACTTCATCTGGCCGTCGAGACCACAGTAAGCCTCTGTTCTCCTCTCTTAACATTCTTACCATCTTTAGTCAATATGTACTTGACTCCGTCTGCTACGTTAAGGAGAACATTGGTGACTTTATACAGCGTGGTGCAGTACATCAGCACAACACTAGAGGAGCTATCGATCTGGATGTGCCAAGATGCAGACTGGCTAAGTCACTGAACAGCTTCCCAGTTATGGCAGTGAGACTTTTCAATAGACTCCCAATTGAAGTAAAGCAGGCGAACAATGCCCAGTTTAAAAGATTGGTAAGGGAGAGACTCCTGGTGGACCCCCTATTTGACACAGACGAATTTATGAGGGAACCTTGGAGAGGAGCCATCCGCAATCCAAGATAGCCTAGACATGAATTGACACAGCCTATCCAGATCATCTGGTCATCGGCGACGCAGTGGTAATTAAAGGTAATTAAAGGTACAAAACCAAATTCGGTTTTGAAAGCAGGTTGAATGATGTGCCGCTAAAACCAGTCCTGGGCGGGGAGAACTCCCTGCCTCTGAATCGATAGCGGTACAAATTTCACGCACTACTGCGTTTCAGAACAACTTTGATTATACGTACATTTTAATTACTAAAGACCACTTAGATAATGTGTGACTTAACTTTTCATTTCTATCTTTTTAAGAGCTTAAATTCAAGCAATCATCTTAGTTTCTAACTTTTCCGTCCCTGGAATAAAATGCATATACAAAAACCATAACAGATTTTTTTTCATTGATGAAAAATTCTAAAACTTATAAATATGCTTTATAAGTATATGTTCTAAAATCTATCAAAATTTCATGACTATTAGATCTGTATTTTTTTTATAAAATGTTAAAGTTACTTGTTATTAGAAAAGTGTTGAAAAACCTTCTTTCAAAACTTTTTTCATTCAACTTGCTGAAAGGCTGAGTCGAAAGTGCATAAAAAATTGAATCCAACACACATAAACGCAGAAATAAATTTGTAAAAATATTATGTAACTTGTATTTTTTTAAGTCTACTTATAACGTTGCAATAAAAGCTCAAACTCGAGTATCTATACTTTTTGACTCGACAGTAGTGTCATTGGGACACCATTTTAAGTCCAGTACAACCCCGCTAATCTGTCTCCTACAGGACCGGGTTGGTCGGAAGGGTGAAAAGGTCAGATTATCCGAAGAGCATATTAAATGACCAAATTAATTGATTAACTGACATTTATTGTTCTGGTGTGATCGCAAAGGACAATGATAATGTTTCCGTTTCAGCCTTTTGACACGATCGGGGAGGATGAAAATAAATAACTTTTCTATGATTGCGGAAAACGGTGATGATAAATGATATTTTGCCGCATCTTTGAGAGACGGTGATAATCTCCACTCGACCACAGCAAAACTCATGAATTTACCGCGATTACATTGTTACGGTGGTGATGGCCGGATCAAGGAGGAGTCGGACTAGGCGAGGTCCGGATTCCTTGGTTCTACTGTACATTGCTTATCGATGCTCTTTGTATGACGAATGTGGACTGGAGTCTATATTTAGAAATTTCAGCCTTAATATAATTCACCTAAGAATTTTCTTTGGAAACGAAATGTCTGTTAACATGATTGATGTGATCAGATATTCGGAGAGTCGCTGTCGAGGTACAGCAGCAGTGGGGACGGAATGGTCAGTGTGCAGATGTTGACAAGGTTCTTGTCTCAAGAGCAAGGGGACAATGTGGATGAAGTGAAGGTGTCTCGCCACATGAGAGAATATCTGCAAGACGCCCAGAGAGATGTGCAGGAGCCTTACTTCACTACTAGAGAGGTACTGTGCTCGCTATATCATCCATGTAGTGCAAGAAACATAAGTAGATAACTAGTGATAGGTTCAAAATTGTTCTGTCTAATGTTTCGATAGTGTCATTAAAATAACCATATTGTTTCTGATTCATCCAAATGCAGTACCATATGTAGCGTAGTATAGTATATCAATTAATATTACAGTATTTGTTTGTTGATTCGATTAATTTTCATGGTGCTCATATGAATGTTTTGATATTTGTCATAAACGATTACTCGTTGACTATAATAGTAATAATAAGCAGTAGATTAGTAATAGATAAGTAATAAGCAGGAGATTACTCCTTGACCGCTGTAACGTTGATGGAAACGTAATGTAGAAATTACATCCTTGGAAAGTGGAAACTAAGGATGATTATTAATTTACGAAGATTTTGTTTTTAGTCTAAAATGTTATAATATACAGTCTATTTGAAAAAATTAGATATCAGATTTGTCTCGGTTTGGATACGAATAATCGGAAAAAAAACGGTCGGATAACTGAATCTGACCCAAATTTTCGGATATCCGCACATCTCTAGTTAAAAATCAATCTTAATCAGAGAAAAGTGTTTAGTCAGTGGATTAGTGAGAGATAAGTGTGCTACCCATGTGTCTTGGCTGTGGGAAGGCTTGGTGTAAGAGGCGCACTTAAAAATAAACAGTGACTAGCTTAGGTGGATTCTTTGTTAGTTGCACATATATGATCAGGCATTTAACTACTCTGTACTTAGCCTTGCTGGGCGTGTACGGTTAAAATATGATCAATGACTTTTATTAATTTTCATTTTTGATAGGCTAACATTTGTGAGATGAAACAGTCAACAAATTTCTACAACTCCTTGTATTCTGATATAAATTTCAATGACATTTTCAGTTTATGGACTTCTTATTTTCCAAGCAAAATGAAATGTGGGACAACAAGTATGGCGAGGTTCATCAGGATATGACTCGGCCGTTGGCTCACTATTGGATCTCTTCCTCCCACAACACGTAAGTGAAAATACCCTTGTTGCGGCAAACCTGTTGAATCAGAATCATCTTTGCTTTACAATAATGGAGTTTACAAATAGTGTCAGATTGCAATGGTGTGAAAATAACAATAGTGTCAGATTATAATTTAGTGAGTTGTGGGTAAGATTTCCCGACGTGTTGTCCTGGAGCCATGCTTTGAGTGCTGATCCCATCAAGTTCCTGTAATCAAGGGAAATTTCCAGTTTTATTGACTTTATCAAAACTGGTTCTTATAAATGAAATTAATACTTAGACCCATACTAAGCATAAATGACGTTTTGGCTCAAAGTCTATTTGGACTAGCTACTTTAAAGAACACCCAACATTTGGTGTTTTGGTTAGATTGGCTACGGCAGACTCTAAAAACAGCAGCGGTGCTGAGCTGATATTTCACTATTATGGCTATGGTAGAGGCTACTTCATGTAGGGGAATTATTTAAAAGGACTAAAAGTAGTATCTGTTTACTAACACCATAATAATTATTATTTTTAGTTTCAATAGTTTTGCAACTCTTTCAGTAAAAATATTTTGACAACACCATTGTTAATGTTATTTTTCAAATGATTTCATGTTACACAAGAAGGAATGATTTCTTAGTGGATCATCCCAGCAAGTAATAAAGTAACACTGGATTTTGGATCTGTAACCGCTAACCAACCATGTCTCAATAATTAATTGTTACTTGATCCATTACATTGGCATTTTACAGTTACCTGACGGGAGACCAGTTCTCCAGTGAGTCGAGTGTGGAAGCTTACGCAAGGTGTCTGAGGATGGGCTGTCGTTGTATAGGTAGGCAACAACTTTTTTCTTTTGGCCCTAAAACGCTAGACATGAGCCTGGCATCATTTTTCACATTACTTCATGCTAGACCTAGGGGTTGCGGCATTATCAATTAGATAAAATCCATTTGTAATTTGGTGGATTTGAACCCGGGACCTCAAGGAAAAAATTCCTGTTGCTACGTACATCTATATAAGATGTACGTAGCAACAGTAATTTTTATTTCAATTTAAACTACAGTTGGCAGCACTCTTGTGTAACTTTTGAATTCAAACTTTAACTCCTTCCTCTCCCTCCTGATGAAGTCCCAAACTGGGACGAAATATTAAGTTTTACCTTTTTGTGTTATGTGTTTTATGTGTGTTACCAAGGCTAATCTGGTCCCTCTCTACCAGGTAAGCTAGCGGATCTTTATCCTAGTAGATAATAATCCTTCTAGTTGAATTGTATCTTATGAGAAAATAAGTTCAATCTGAAATCTAATAAAAACTTAAATAGAGAATAAATAGTGTGCTCCTGTTACAGAACTGGACTGTTGGGATGGGCCTGACGGAATGCCTATTGTCTACCACGGACACACGCTGACTAGTCGGATCAAGTTCCTGGATGTTGTTCGGACGATTCGAGAACACGCCTTCGTCACGTCTGAGTGAGTGAAATTAACTGTTGCAATGTTGCAATTGTTTTTATCTGTGTTTTAAACACTATTAGCATTTTAAAAGTTTGTTAAGGAACAGGCCCTAACCTAGGTATTGTTACCATGAAGTCAACATTTTGATAGAAAGATTCATATAGCACCATACAAATAACATTTGTGTACGGAATCGTCCCCAGATTTACTTTACTCGTAAAATGTTCTCTAGCTAATACTGTTTGAAATTTTTATTAATTTCCCTCAACAAAAAGAACTGTTGGAATAATTTTGGAACTGGAATGGGATGATCAGTAGACAAAAATTTTAAAAAATTTGAATTTTTGACAATTCAATTAATATTTTGTTATACAATAGTCTTTATTGGGTATGCGTCGAGAGCTTGTATCAGTATTTGTAGTCTATTATAAAAAGTAATACTGATACGAATATCCGGAAGTGGACAGGAAAATGTTTGGAAAATAAATTTTGTAGCCATTAATTTCCATTAATCATCTCAACAAAATCTTATCTGTCACACAAACAAATGTTTGTCTTGTGGAGAGATACACCAGGAAAAAAGGTTGGAAAAGCTGATCTCTAGTAATCCTTACTTTGTAGATATCCTGTAATCCTGTCAATCGAGGACAACTGCTCGCTGCTGCAGCAACGCAACATGGCCGCCACCATGGTGGAGGTGTTTGGAGAGCTGTTGTTAGTACATCCGGTGGAAAAAAACGAGACTAAGCTGCCGTCGCCGGAACAATTAAGGCACAAGATCTTGCTGAAACATAAGAAACTGCCTGATGGTGTTGACGAGGCCGCTTTGCTCATGAGATCTGATGAAGGTAAGAGATATGGCTGTGTGTGCAATGGACTAGGTCATTTTGTTTTAAGAAAACACTTTTAAACATGAGATACGGGGATAAGGAAAGTAAGAGTTATTTCCTGCCTTCATTTGAAGGCTTTTTTGCAGGTGTCATTGCACTCCATAGTGGTTTTTCAGAAAATTAATGTAGGATAACCTGGTATATATTGAATCCAAGATAGGGTAAGGCACCCAATAAGGTACCGGCAAAAGATTCTATAGAAAAGGAATTTTTTTATAATTTGAATTTTTCCCTTTTTAGTTATTGGATTGGTGAATAACGTTTTTTAACCATAAAATTAAAGTAAATTTAAATCAACTCACACTTTATGTTTGTTGAATAAAACTACTGAAAATTTGTATCTTGAGGTAAATTAATTCCGTGATGCTGGATAACATAGCTTAGGTAAAGAGATGCTTTAATAAATGAGCTAGGGACCATCCCGGACCCACGGGTGAGAGAGGTTTTAGATTTGTTGGGAGTGCACTGTGTACTATATCTTGTGAAGCTTTAGGCATTTCAGACTAATTAGTAACAAAGTTAGAAGAATTTAGTTATCAGTAAAATGATGTAGTCTTTAAAATTTAAACAAGCTTCAGGGAGTTCTGGAGTCAACTATATTCTGAAATTCCAGTTCCCACCTTCACAACATTATTAAATGTTATGATTATTAAATGTATTTGACTTAACTTAGAATTTCATGCAAGTGAAGTAAGAAATGTTTTTCATTTCTAATCTTTGAACAGATTAATATTAATAGTTTATAATGATATTATCTCAAATAGGAACACAGAACAGGTACACTGATCTGAATTCATTGTAAATTATCTGCAGGTCGTGGAGAGATGGACTTGAGAACAACAGTGAAGAACGGAGTTTTGTACCTCGAAGATCCTGTAGACAAGGAGTGGAATCCTCACTTCTTTGTTCTAACTCAGAACAAACTCTTCTACACAGACAGCTTCCACGGGAACGAAGAGAACGATGACGACACCGAGAATGAGGATGAAGAAAACCACACAAGCTTTCAAAGACCTAAAGAGGTAATGTACTGTTTAGTCAGATTCATTTTCTCAACGAGTGATAGCATACAAACATATTCAAGCAGACCATTGAAATTGATAATTTCATTTCATTTATTTATCTCGCCATTTTACATAAATCACAGACAAATTACAATCTTAGTTTAAAGCTGAAAATCACTGTTGAATTGTGGAAATATACTGCCACTTACTTTACTATCTGCCTGATAAAACTAAGGTATTTCTGAACCCAACCTTTGTAATTGTGAAAAATTACATGATTTTGAGTCCAGGTCAGGTACCAGTAGACTCCTAGAAATGGGATGAAAACTCTTGAAAGTTCAAATTAAATTTCATTCTTTTAGGGAGTGCCCAATGACGAGTTGCATTTTGGTGAGAAGTGGTTTCACGGAAAGTTGGCCGGAGGACGCAGCGAGGCAGAGGATCTCTTGCGCAAGTTTGCACGCCTAGGAGATGGAACATTCCTGGTGCGAGAGAGTGAAACATTCGTTGGAGATTACTCTCTCTCATTCTGGTAAGTGGATGTGGTAATGTCATGATAGGCAGAGATCAGAAGACTGAGGTGACCAGGGTTGTTACCCGTCCTTATTTCGGTCCCTTGTGCCCTCGTTTATGCCCATGTTAATCCACACAATATATTGGACAGATTATGCAACACAAAGAACAATTTGGAAAGACAACAGGGTAAAACAACAGAGGTATTTGCATAATAGCATTAGTCAATGATAATAGTTATACAGTAGACTCTCGCTCATCCGGATCGGCCTTGTCCGGACTCCCGGTAGTCCGGATCGGCAATCGTGATTTTTTAGCGCAGTACAGTAGAAGTCTGATTATCCAAGCGAAACAGGACCGAGACTACCTTGAATAATGAAAGAAATCGGATAACACGGCGGTAAAAATTATTACTGGTGGAAGTGCATATGCCCGGGCTATCATTACTGTGGACCTGGAACAAAATTCGGACGAAAAAATTATACCGGTGGAAGTGCATATCCCCCGGGCTATCATTACTGTGGGCCTGGAACAAAATTCAGCCGTAAAGATTATTACCGGTGGAAGTGCATATGCCCGGATATCATTACTGTGGACCTGGAACTAAATTGAAAAAACGGCTATATACAGTATTGTGTATTTGCTCGACTCTCGATAGTCCGGATTTTTCGTAATCCGGACCGGACGCCCGCCACATTAGTCCGGATGAGCGAGAGTCTACTGTAATTACTTCTATGGAAATTTCTACAGAGCCAGAAAACCTTTTGGGCAGTGTTTTGATAGTAACATAAAGTAAGTTACTCCCACTAATGTGTCACTACTTACTAGTGTTTGTAAAGTCATTGGTTTGGTTTTGTAAAAAATTGTTTCTAATGTACGACAGTGTGTAAAATATAATACCAGACTTCACAATTTCCAGCATAAGTGCATTATTTTCAGCCTCTTATTTGTCTGATCTGCAGGAGACAAGGCAAGGTAAACCACTGTCGTATCCGCTCCAAACAGGACCGAGGTCAGACTAAATACTTCCTCATTGACAGCAACTGCTTCGACTCGTTGTATAGTCTCATCACACACTACCGCACCCATCCACTAAGATCTCAGGTAGGTTTAGCTTAAACTTATCAAAACTACCAACTAGTAACTTTACTCGGTGGTGAGCCGATAGCACGAGTAATATCTTGAGTTCACGTCCCGGTAATGTCATACAGTTTTTTTGTACTGTACTGGCTTTGCTTGATACCTTTCACGTTCAGACCCAAGCCCAAGTGGACAGTTGAAGATTAAAAGACTAAGATTAAAACTGTCAACCTCTTTGAAAAAAAAAAAAAATAAAAAACAGAAGAAAAGAATTCTTTGAAGCTATTGTAGAACTGCAAGAAAGGACCACGATGTTCTAAGTTCGCCTCAATAAAGAAGGATTTCATTTAATTTCAATTGAATAATGTTTCTCACTTTACCATTGATTATAGAAACCTAATTACAGTAACCCTCATTTAACATTGACATAACTGACTCCTCATGATACCCGACCTACAGGGTGGCCACAAACCCGAAATGCCGGAAACATTGAGAATGATGGGGGAATTTATTTGTCGTATCGGGGAAAACAGGAATTAATTATGTGTGAATTTTGAAATCTCACCCAGAAAACCTGATTTTAGTCTGCCGTCATGGCAAAAACAAAAACATCTTCCATTGTCACGGAAAAAACTACAACTTTTTAGGCTAAGTTAGCAACATTAACATTGGATGGCTTGGTTTGAATATATGCTGTGAGGCTTAATCTTACCACTTACCAGTTGGTTTGGAGTTTCAAGAGGTAAAGTTTGAGTACAAATATTTTGCAGGAGTTCCTGATCACGTTGAAGGAGCCAGTTCCCCAGCCCAACAAACACGAGGGGAAGGAATGGTACCACCCTCTCGCTACTCGCAGTTCTGCCGAGGACCTCCTCAAGAGGGTGCCTCATGACGGAGCCTTCCTGGTCAGACCTAGCGACAAGGATCACAATGCGTACACCATCTCATTCCGGTCAGTAAACCAATACAGTCAAAATAATGTATCTAATACTTGGTTTGAAGTTTATTTTCGGCTGAAGTTTGTGTTGTTTGTGATATTATTGAAAATATTTTCAATCACAATTAAAATGTCAAGAAAATTTTTTTTATTGATGGAGCCTTGCTTGAGCGGTTTTGTACAAACGGTATCTTTTGTCTTTCCTCTATATTAATTGGTGATTCCTTTCATAGTTTTCTTGTCTCTTGTTTTAATTTCCATAACGTTTTCTGTGGGGTTTTTCTTTTGTGATTTTCCGGCTTTTATCTTGTGATTGGTTGTTATCTTAGTTTAAAATAATACATATTGCTATACAAGGTTTCCATTACAATTGGTAGGGTTTTGTGATTTGTAAAACTTGTGTGAGAAAAATTTAACATTACATACTGGTACCCTTGGGGCGCTCTAACAGTTCTGTATCAGGTATTCTGTTCAGTTAATTTTTATAATTCATAATGGTAAATTTCAAAATTCCTGTAACATTGATGTGTTTGTTGTTTGACAGGGCGGAGAAGAAAATCAAACACTGCCGGATCAAGGTGGAAGGGCGGCTTTACACCATCGGCACCGTTCAGTTTGAGAGTCTGGTGGAGCTGGTCAGTTACTATGAGAGACATCCGTTGTACCACAAAGTGCGACTGTGGTACGCGGTCAGTGAAGATCACGTGCATCGGCTGGCTTTGGTGAGTCTCCAATTCCATACTTATTTTAAATTTTGTGTTTGTGGTTGAAATTAGCAATCCATTTTGAATTGTATACTGCCTAATTATGTGTATCAAATAGTCACAGTCACTGTAACTCTGCTTTAAAGTCATCAGTGAGTTTGCCAATGGTCAGTCGCGTCCCACTCCGCTCTCCACCAACCCATGTATTGTACGAACTCCAACTATCCGGACCAATTGGTACCATACCTTATTCGGATAGTTGGGTTTTCACTGTAATTTGGAATGCCTATTAAGTTTTTTATGCATCCTTATATATAATACGTGAAGGTGATTTCTTGAAAACACTACTCCTCCGTTAATAATGGACGGATTTTTACAAACGACGTGTCAAAATAAAGTATTTTTTGTGTAGACGCCCCCTTTCACCAATTCATGTAATAAAAATCCTCGGGCTTTGCCCCACAGGCCATCAAAGTTGGATTTTCTCCCATAAGATTAACATGGGGGAATTTAAATATTTAATTGGAAACTTTGTCCCCACTAATTTGAGAGAACGGCTGGGCGTAGAAACTTGGTAGAGGTGTCCAAAGAAAGGTCTTGGTCTGTAGATGAGATATCAAAAGAAAAACTAAGAAAAATCCCTTAGGGCTCTGCCCCAGAAGCCTTTAAAGATCCCTCCACAGAGTTGTTTACATTTTGGCCATGTGAATAATACTTTTTAATAAAACAGCTGTTCATTTTTAAATTGTATTTCAAACCACACATATTTATTGGGTTACTGAATTGTACCAAATAAGTATTTGCAATGTTATTTTCTGATTTTAAAATTAATTTTCCTCTTTATCATGTCATGTTTTGCAATATAACGTTCTATTACGAAATCAGTGGAAAATCCTTTTATCACAGCAATTCTTAAATTATTTCTTATTGAACTATCTTATATCTATTGTACGGGTTGGCGTCTGCCTTTTTCACCACTTTTGCCTAAATTTTATCATATTATTCTACACATATCAAATATTCATGTAGAAATATCTGCTCTTATCGTGTCTAATAAAATCCAAACATAGAAACATTGCCTAAAATGGTAGGCTACCCATCTTGACAAATTATTTGCACCTGCCTATATTACAGACTTTGGCGCACTGGGTTGGTAACATTATTGAAAATAACACGACATTTTGGCTGTAAAATATGGTACAAAGAGAAAATACTATTTTAGCAGCTACTGTCATGACAGAAAGGTCATATTCCTTTTAAACTAGACCTCATAATCCTTTATAAGATACGTTGATTTACAATATTTAAACGTCAATATATACGCAACAGCCAATTTACAGTATTTTTTCTTTTTGGAAATGTCCTATTGCTATGTCATTTGCATTATTTGTTGCCAATGAAGCCGCAAGACCATATAAACTAGGAGGTCCCTAACAGTTTAAGAATAAAAGCCAACTTCACTTCAAGTATTCCACTACACCTATCATTCCGTAGAGAGATTATATTGACAACTTTATGTTATTGATAAGGCTGAGACAACTAACTGACATCCCCCATGTCAAGGAATTCCAGCTTTAACAGTAACCCCACAATAAATTTCTCATAACTATGCTAGAGGGTTCATTCATTGGCACAGAAGTACGATATGAACTGACGCGACGTGACGAAGGAAAAATCAAACTTACACTGTAACGGACATACCTCCCTTTGAAGTTAGAACATTTCTTCCCAAAAAATATTTTCATTTCAAATAAAATCATATTACACTGATGAAATCACAGAAGTGTTTAACTACAAAAGACCCACCAATACGATTTTAATACTATTTAAAGGTTCTTCCAAAGGAAGAGATATCATATAACATACTAATAATAACTCCGATGAGTCAAATGACGTACGGTATGGGAAATATTTTAATCATTGAATGATCAACGGATACTAATAATAACTCCGATGAGTCAAATGACGTACGGTATGGGAAATATTTTAATCATTGAATGATCGACCAAATTTGGCAACTAACGCAATTAAAATCATTATTTTTTTCACACTTACTATCCTTTAAACAATGCTAAATTCTCAAAATATGTATATTTCACCCAATTTATCGCAGTTAGATGAATTAACGTAAGCCTTGAAAGTAACCGTCGATTTCGACGGGTTTCCCCTAGTTTTAAAGATTTTGTGATTGATAAATTTACGCATTTAACGCAATTGCGGAAGACGACGATGATGTATACAAGTCCGCAGGAGATATTCAAGATTTTATCGCAATCACAGAAGACAATGATGATGATTCCAACACCGCAAGAGATGATGATGATGTTTACATGACCGTGGAAGATGTTCAGGATTTTTCTGCGATAACCGCTTTTGCCCTCTGTCTTCTTGAATAACAATTATTGTAACTTTAGTTTTAGGTTTAAAAAATCCTTTCTTTAAGCAATTTGAACGATCGGCTATTCGGAGAGTTAGAGTTTCGTTAGTTAGAGCTCTACTTCACTTTCAACAGCTGATTGCTTCCAGTGAATTTCTTCATATATTACAAGCCTTGTTGTAGTTTTTTTACTTTGAGATTTTTGTGTAAGTTTATACAGTATTTGCAAAATCAAGCAAGATTTACAAGCCTTTGACTCTTGCTGAAAAAAAAAATAGCAGGGATATAAAACCTTTCAATTCAATTCAATTCAAAACTTCTTTATTCGTCTCTTGTACAAAATACATTGAATAGTGTCCACAGTTCAGCTGCAAGTAGGCCTAATATTTATTAAATACATTTCTAACCTAAGAATATAAAAACAAAATTTCACAAACTTACATTTTTTTTTAATAAATTGTAAACAAAAAATACTTATCCTGAATTAGTTTTTAACCTCAAAGACTATCCAACTCTTCAAAAGAAAAAATAGCCTTGCTGATGAGAAATCTTTTTAATTTATTTTTAAATATTGTTTTGGAAGTCTCTGATTTAATTTCGATTGGGAGATTATTATAAAATTTTGATCCCGCATATATGGGTTTTTTCTCAAACAGTTTTAGACTATGGTGGCCAATTGCAAGGTTTTCCCGATTTCTGGTGAAATAATTATGACTATCCCCAACTCGTTCCAAATCATGAAGTCTGTCCTTTACTGATAAAATTGTTTCAAAAACGTACATTCCGTAAATTGTCATTATATTTTCTGATTTAAAATGTTCTTTAGTAACAGAAGTTTCAAAATCTAAATTGCAGATGATTCTAATAGCTTTCATTTGCTTTTTTAGAATAGAATTCAAATTGTAATCACTAGTTGCACCATAAAGTGAAATCCCAAAAGATATACTTGAGTGGATATATGAAAAATATATAACTTTTAGAGTTTGTTTTTCACATAAGGGTTTCAATCTAGATAAAGCATATAATCCTGATGTGATTTTGGCAAGTAACTTTTTAACGTGACTGTTCCATTTCAGATTTTTATCAATTTCCAATCCCAAGAATTTAATGTTGTCCATACTTAGAATTTCTGTGTTCTCGAGTTTGATGACTGGTTTATTTTGATCTCCTAATTCTCGAGTTTGAAAACTAATGAAATTTGTCTTATCTGGATTAAGAAGCAAATTATTAGAATAAAAAAAATATTTAACACAGCTATATCAGAATTTGCCTTAATTTCAAGTTCATCATTTGATTTTGCAGTGATTTTCAAATTAGTATCATCAGCATATAGGCAAAGTTCACTCAAGTCACTGAGTTGGGGAAAGTCTCTAAATTAACAAATGAATAATAAAGGGCCTAAGATGGACCCCTGAGGCACTCCAAATTTCACATCTCTAATAGAGGATCGGTAATGAATTTTATAGTTTTTGTTGTTTTGGTGAATTATTTCTACAAACTGTTTTCTGTTGGAAAGGTAAGACTTGAGTAACTTTAATGCATTGTTCTTTATCCCTAATTTGCTTAGCTTTGAAATTAAAAGGTTATGTGATATTGAATCAAAGGCTTTACTTAAATCCATAAATAATCCTACCACTTTTAATTTACTGTCCAAACTATCAATAATAGATTCAACAAACTTTGTGGCAGCTGTTATTACAGATCTACCACTGCGGAAACCATGTTGACATTCTTCAAAAAGGCAATTCTTTTCAAAAAAATTTACTAGTTGATTATAGATTACTTTTTCATAAATTTTAGAAATAGCGGGAAGCAGTGCTATTGGTCTGTAGTTTGAAACTAAGTACTTGTCCCCTTTTTTGAAAAGTGGTTTTAATTTTGCTACTTTAAGTTTATCAGGAAAAATACCAGAAACTAATGAAGAGTTAATGATGTGAGTGATTGGTTTAAGTAATACAAATCTTGCTTTTTTTAGGAGTACCACAGGAATACCATCATATCCCGTACTAAAAGAATTTTTTAGGTGGTTTAAAATGTAATCAATTTCTTTCTCACCAACAAAGCTAAATTTAAAATTGTTAGTACTAATTAACAACAAATTATTTTCTGAACTATTCTCTGTCTCAACTTGAGTTTGCTCCATACTGCATATTGAAGTATCCTCAATTAAATCTGCAAAATAATTATTAAATTGGTTACAAACCAGAGAAGGCTCAGTACATACACAATGTCATTTGATTTTAAAATTATGTTTAGTATATCCTTTGCTTTATTTCCTACTTCTGAGTTGATAATCTTCCAAGTGGTTTTATTTACATTATTTGAATTATTAATAACAGATTTATAGTAATTTTTCTTTGCAGTGTATAATCGTTTTCTGAAATCTTTTTTCATTTCCCTAGTTTTTTTAACCATTTTTTTACAATTAACTTCTCTAGCCAATTTGCTGAAATTACTTATATTTTGTTTTTCTAACTTCAATTCATTAGAGATCCATTTTTTGTTAGTATGTTGTCTTATCAAAGTCTCAGGAAAACAATTATCAAAATGATACATAAAAATGTGATGAAAAGTATCGTACTTTCTTTCAACCGGTGATGAGTAAAGGTTTGCCCATGATTCAAATTCCAGTGCCCTAATAAATTGATTAATATTTGCATCCCTGAATTTCCTCTTATACTCAAAATGGACCTTTGAACCAATATTTAATTTGGTAGTTTCACTATTATTGATAATTTCAAGAATTTGACCATCATGGTCTGAGAGTTGAGTGTTGATTCCTATGACTCTGTAATAATTGTTTTCTAAATTTGTAAAAATATTATCTATTGCGGTTTGAGTTGATTCAGTGATTCTGGTGGGGAAATCAATTAATGACTTAAATCCATTAGCGTTTACAATATGCAATAATCTATTTCTATTATTGTAACTTTTATCATCATCAAACTTTAAGTTTACTGAACACATGTTTTTCCTGTACAGTTGTGCAATCAAACGACGAGTGACTTTTCAAAACCCTCATTATCAAACTTTTCTGATTACAAAATTCCAATACAGTTGTGCAATCAAATGTGTGACTTTCCAAACCCTCATCAATTTTCGGGAAAAAAATATTCCCGATTTTCGGGGCGGGATTACATTTGATTCGGGAATTTTTCGGGACGAGATTGGATGCGATCGCCGGCGATTTTGCCGCTTCGCGAGTGACAATGACGCCACTATCGCGAGAGATGTTCATGATAGTTCCGCGAACGCAGGAGGCGAAGTCATACCGACGATCGCGCCGTGACCGCGGAGTCACACCGACGATCCCGCCGAGACTGCGGAATCATACCGACTATCCCGCCGAGACCGTGAGTCATACCGACGATCACGCCGTGACCGCGAGTCATACCGACAATCATGCCGTGACCATGAGTCATACCGACTATCATGCTGTGACCGCGAGTCATACCGATGATCACGCCGTGACCGCGAGTTATTTCGACCGTGAGTCACAAGTTTCTATACCTGTAAATTTTTACCCATTTTTTGTATTTATAGATCAGTGCCACAAATGGTAAAACTTGTTTGTATTTTTTGGTAACTGCAATACTCAAAACTTTCTTTTTATGCACAGGAAAAAATCCCGTCCCGTCCCGAACTAAAAAAGTCTATCCCGTCCATCCCTACTCATCATCAAACTTATCTGATTACAAAATTCCAATACAGTTGTTCAATCAAATGTGTGAATTTTCAAACCCTCATCATCAAACTTATCTGATTACAAAATTCCAATACAGTTGTACAATCAAATGTGTGACTTTTCAAAACCCTCATTATCAAACTTATCTTACTTACTTGGATACTTGGAGAATTCCCACTGGTATCGCATCAGCGACATGGTCGTCAGGTTTTTATACATTTCTTGATATTAATTTATATAGATGGATTTATTTCCTCTTCAGGGATGTACATGGCCTAGATATATATTTCATCAACACTGTAGTAGGCCGCTTGACTTAAGAATGTTTTTGGCAGGTTCTTGAATTTGTTGATAGAGGGCTCTTGCGTGATGTACTGAGGCAATTTATTGTAAATTTTTATACTATTGAAGTAAGGGCTCTTGCTTGCAAGGGTGGAATCTGATTTACTTTACTATGTATTTGAAGTTCCACTGTTTTGTTCAACTCATTGATGCCAAAATGTTTTGTTTATTTGTATATAATTTTTTTGTACATTATGTATTTTACCTCATATGCATTTTAACATGATATGTCCATGTTTAAACAAAATAAAAGCCAAAAAATAATAAATCTGTGCTCTTCTCCTCTATAATAATTTGAAAAAGAAGCAAAACAGGCGCAAATGTCTACCATCCCTTCTAATCCCACTAATAATGTCAAATTCCACTCTGGATACCGCTTATTTAAGGTGGGCCCTTCCACCGGCTAAGTTAGCTTATGTATTGCAAATGTACTGGAATTGGACCTGTACATGTTGAAAAACTACAAAACTTCACTCATCACTGTACTAATGCCCAGCTCAAATCATGTTTAATCACCAATGGATTTTATCTCAGTAATAATACCGCAACCCCTAAGTCTGGCCTGAAGTAATGTGACAAATAATCCAGGGCTCGTGCCTAGCGTCCTAGGCCAAAAAAGCCTACATGTCACCATTAGCCGACCGGGATGAGTACCTTTATAACCACATCGACACTAGGTTAGATTCGACAAATTAATCTAGAAATGCCAGTGCCCAGTGTGTAGGCATTACAGCCACCTTCCAGCAAAATGTGGTGATGACCTACACTTGTGACATGGCGTCGATGGGCTAAAAGAAAGTTATCTGTTACCATTAACTGTGTGGTAAAAATCTTTTATATAGATCAATTTTTTTTTAAACTTTAAGAAGCATTTTCCAGTACAGTAACGATAATCAAAATCATTTTGCGCCATTTTTTATTTTTATTTTACATTTTTGTTGTTGGACAAGCAAATTCTATGATAGTGGAAAATTTGTAACAATTTGAATAACCACCAATGTGATAGGCCTATTTAAATGTTTCGTTTTGTTTTATTTATCTATTGTGTGCGTGTGACAGTAATGTCTTTCTGTGTTTGTACCCTGACGATGCCGTATTAACGGTGAAACATGTAGGTTTTTAACCTAACATCAAAACATTTGGATTACTTGACGAGGTAATTATACCACAATATTATAGCCATTCATAGTAATCCAGGGGCCATCAACATGGAATTCAATTGAATAACCAATCCTATTACTCAAAATAACTTCATTTGTTACCAATGGCTAGTAGAATTGCTCAACCAAGCTATAGCCTACACAGTCACAACTTTTAAATCAATGAATTAAATGGTATTTAATTTATACACAAAATACCATTGTGGAACCAACTAGTTTTAAAAATAAAAAAGAATTATACTACAATAAAACTCTTCAATGTAAATATCCAACAAAATCTGAGGTGCTAATATTTTTATTTGTTGTTGTTTCAGGCAGGAAATGTAGTTAAACAAAATATTGATTATTTTGTTATTTGATATTTCACAACTAGCTTAACTAGAAGTTAGTAAAAGTAGTCTTTGTTTGGGAAATTGAATGATAATAAAGCTTCGTTTTAGAAATAATTTTATTTTCAAATACAATAAAAGGCATTTTTGTTAACAATGTTGGGAAATAAAATTGATAATTCGTCCGAGGATTTGTATATCAGCATGTATACAATTCATTAGTTCATCCAATAATTGTAGTTATACAATCTGTCTAAAAGATGCTAAGGTAAATGTTTATTAGCGAATTTCCCTATAGGGAAGTAGCTAATTACCGTAGGTCTCATGGTAAGACCTAAGCCCGGGACCGATTTACTTTTTCATTTTGATGTCCCCAGAGGCCAAAAACACCATTCGTTCAAATTTTTATGTATCTATATATAGATATATATATATATATATATATGTGTCCATCCGCACGATAACTTGAGTATTTTTTGTCCGATTTTGATAAAATTTGTTTTGAAGGTGTAAGGCGGGTTAAACTTGAATGAGTTCGCGAACCAGCATGATCGGACTATGGGAACGGGGGTTTATGGGGGGTTTTATGGGGTAAAAATAGGTTCTTCCCATTTTTGACCCTAAAAACACAAAATTTCACAATTTATTTTTAAACCATTTTGTAGAGCTTAAAAAAACAAATAATTTAGTATATTGAAGCGTTATTATGCGCCTAAATGTTACGGAGAAAATTCAAAAAAATTGTAATTTTAAAATTCCCATGTTATTCTTATGGAGAATAAGTCAACTGTTGTAGTTTGCTTGTTTATGAACATATTTTGATCAAATTTGGAAAATACATTAATTTCTTACTAAACCACAGTACCTTTTAATATTTTACATAAAAAAAACTTTTTTACCCTCCCTGTTGCAGCAAACCTAAGTACTCATTAAACTAATTCTGTTTAAATAGGGAATAAATGTGATATTTTTAAGGAGACATTTTAATTTAAATCCAATCAGGCGGATGGAAATTCGCTAAGTCTGCAGGTTTGCTGCGGCGGGGGTATTTTTTTCTCGCTTTGAGCTGAGTATGTTAACTGTTATAACTTCCAATTAGAGCCAGTCTTGGCTCAAAATATGAAACAGCTGTGCAGAACGGTGTGCTCATATTGGAGAAAATAGCTTATATAGAAATGTACTAAATGATATTAAATGTGGAATCAATGTGGGTTTTATAGCATTTTTTTGTGGAGAATGATGAGTTAAAAAATGTCAACTATAATATTCTTAAAACTTTCAGAATAGCTATAGCAATTTATTTAATAACATATTTTTAGAGAACAGTGGGGTAGGATTTTTGACTTACCCTTTTATCTCAGCAAAAGTTTTAAAAGTCAAATAATTGACAAATTTATTTTTTTTGTCATAATTAATATAATTTTTCTTGTTATAGGAGTCATAAAATGACTTTACATTACTCTTTAGCGCCATCCTTATTATCCTTAGTTTTCTTTGTAGATTCAATTTATTCAAATAACACCATGGAATAGATAATCATATAACATGTACAATGTATTAAACTATTAATGTTGTCCCTACAATTATTGTATGACATATTCAAAACTCTATTTCAATATCGTTTTAACTTGTTGTCTATAAATCTATGAAATATTGCTTGTACTTGTAAGGCAAATATTGCAAAGTTATTGGTTGTGGTGATCAAGCAGTGCCGGATTGAACATCGGAGCTAAGTTTGAGTTGTGGGACATTGGCAGTACAAAGATAGGCATGTGTCGGTAGTTGTGTTGAGGGTGAGGCGCCCAGGGTGGAGGGAGGAAGTGATGAGCGTGGATCGTCCTAACGTTGGTGTAACCACTCGGTGGCTTCCTTTTGGCCGGAACATCTTCGTCTTTGTGAACAGTCTCGGGGTTTTGTTGTGCTGCTGTTGTAAGTGGTTGTTTACTGGGAAACACTGTTGAAATCAGTGGAGATGTGGTGGATAAGAAAGGATTAGAATTTTGAGGAGGGAACTTGTTTTGAGAAAAAATCTGTTTTATCGGGCTGAAGTTCACCAGTTGGAACGGGAAGAGGGGAAAACCCGGAGTAAACATGGAACTGCTTGGTCCTAGATGCGGATTTCTTTGAGCAGCCATGTTGGGTGTTGTCGGCACCATTGGCATATTGTTCTTATCAGGACGATCTGGAGTGCATGTGAATTTCAATATCGGTGTCGTCGGAAGCAGTAGTGCAGCTAACATCATATTGTTTTCTTTAATATCTTCCATTTTCACATTCTCGTAGTTCCCTGTTTCTGACATGCCTATGTTGGGTTTTAGTTTTTCCTCGGTGTCAGTGCTCGCTGGTTTGTTAGAACCTTGCACATCAGGTTTTTGTATCTCAAGTGGCTGGTTCTGGGATGTTTTTGAATGATCTGATGTGGATACATTTTCATTGTGTTGTGTGGATACAGACGAATTAGGATTCAGTTCAACCATTGATTTAACCACGTGTTGTGGGTCAGTCTCGTTAAGCGAATTTATTAATCTTGAACCATCGTCAATGTCTTTAATGGTTACTTGGAACTCTACAGTGCTATCTGGTTTGCTTTTATCTTTTGTCTTCTCTGGGCTAACAACTCCTTCGTTAGTGCTCTCGGGTTTGTCTGACGTCACCTCCAGTTTCAACAGTGGCTCTTGTGCACTAGAAACACTTTCTGACTCTTGTTGAACCTTCACAGCTATCATATGGGGACCTGAACTCTCCGAGTGGTCTACATCAAAGACTCCTCCACTTCCCTGAGACATGTTCTTGTCAGACGATTCATCCTCCACCACGGCCATGGTTTGTACAGAGTCTGTGTTGTTGACTGCTGTGTCATGCTGTCGTCTCAGCTTCTGCAGGGACGGTAGTTCAACCAGACGATACGTCGGAGTTGGTTGTACATTTACCACTGCTCGGAAGCCGTTAGCTCGGTCTGCCTTGTAAGTGACCACTCGTAAGTCTCCTGTAGGCTCCACCAGAGAGTATCTTCCTCTGACTTCTTTACCGTCGCTCTCTTCATGGTGACTCTTATAGTCTCCTGAGTGCTTGTCACTGACAGTGTATCCAAACTGATACGATGAAGGAAACTGGAAATTCAGTCCAAATTAATTACAATTCATACTATACAAGGTGTTTTTTTTAACGCAACCCATAATACAAATACTGTGAGACGCAATTTAACGACAAATCAAGCTCATATGTTGGTATCCCTGACCTCTTTACTTCATCGCCGATCAAATAATATGCATTGTTGCATAGTTATTTATGAGGTGTAGTGCTATTTGGAATTTATTGAAAGCAAGACTAAAAATGGCCTTCTCAAAGCTCAAATAGAGTATTCGTTGTAGGTCTAATTGTAGTCCAATTACAAACCTGAATTGGCTTTGAAGATTATTGGACCCTAAAATGGTCTGAAATTTTCTGCTTAACTCTCTCGTCAACTATTTTTATTACTTTCAAAACAGTTACTGTACTACTAACCGAGTAATGTCACTATAGTCCTCGCCACCCTAACTTGAGGCAGCCCAAGGCCGCACGCCGTATATCTAGTGCGGCCTTGGGCTGCCTCAAGTTAGGGTGGCGAGGACTATATAGAAATCTTTTTAATAAAGGAAAAAGTAAAATTTTAATAAACAGATAAACCATGAAAGTGGGAGAGACTTATGGATGCAACTGCACTGAATCAGTAAACTGTAATCTACAGAAAGTTAACAGAAACTTTTTCCTTAGCTTAACCTCAAAATCGCTACAGTACATATCTTCTTGCTCATTTTGGGTATCTAACAGGTAGGCTTATAAGGTGTATTGAACAAAGTGATCCAATTGTTAGACATTGTTAGTTATCAAACATTTATGACCAAGCAAAATAATGAAAGACTAAAACTTACACTTGTTGTTGCTGAATAGCCAAGTTTGCTGAAGATCAATAAAAACGTGATTGTCTGAAAAACATACACATACAATTAAAAAAATAGATAGATTCGCCTTAAACCAACTAATAATAGAAAATGACCGGTTTTAATGATGGTTAGGGCTCTTGGCCCTTGATTCTCTTGTCCCTCAATAAATAGTCGATGAAATTGTGTTCATGTTGAATGCAAAGCAGATATGTTTACATTGTTTCCAACAAGAAAATGAAAAAAAATTAAATTTGTGTAAAATTACCAATTTATTGAAAGTTTTACATCCTTATGATTTTAATTGTAAAAGTATTGTTGAGATACTAACTAACTAACGATATGAGGTCTTGTTGAATTTGGACTCAATTAGGCTGTTGAGTTTGCCAAACTAACTTTTTGTCATACATGTTGGGAATCCGTAAGATTTTCAAAGTAACAATTTCTCGACAAGAGGCTGAGTATCGTACAAGTTTAATGCTCTTTCAACTTCAACCCAGTTTGCCCAAAGCCTCTGTAGTCTGAGCGGGCTTTGAAAAGAATATATTTGCGCTGCGCCTTGTTCCTTGCCGTCCTCATATTTGTCCTTTGTATGAAAAAGATTTTAGAAACTTTCAATCTAATTTTCAGTTGAGTTTTACTAGGTTTGAACATGTTTACTCCAACCAATTCCAAGTTAGTTATAAATAATACTTGTTATTTGGATTTATCTTTCACTTCTTCATATTGTTAGAGTATTAATTACAAGTTTCATTTGTCTTCCCATTGTTTTATATTTTGGGTTGGTTAATTTTTTATGTGTTAAATTTTTTTTGTTCCTTTGTTATACAATTTACAAACTTATATATACAATGAGCACAAAAAACAATAACCACCATAGGTTAGAACCTATGTTGGTGGGTATAGGCTAATACACTTTCTATCGAAGAGGCGGTTAGTCTGGTCACTTGGTTATAACTTACAGTGAGTGTGAGTTCTACCAGTTCTACACAGTGGTCTTATTCAGCGCAAAGTAAAAATTTAAATGTATAAAAAAAATAGAAAACAGAGTATTAAAAGCACTTATATTACTTAATATCTTGTTAACTTTTACACCAATGAGAGCAACTTTAAATGTTAATAAGTAAATTAAAATACCAAAGTACCCTGAAAATAAGAGCATGTTCTGTTCTACATTATTGTTATTAAATATCCTTATAAAGATTTTGGAAGACAATAATTTAATTGACAAAAAGTTAGCTCCTCCATAGATAGATAAATCATACTCCAATTTGGAATTTATCGTCGCATAATAAATGTTTTTAGTAAGCGTGGTTACACATACTTTTAAAATTTTAAAATATCTCTATAATTAATTAATCATCTAGATAAGATGAATAAGTCATACTAAAAATGCCTTTACTGCAAGAAAAATAGGTATCACAATTAGCTAATAGGATCTGAATCTTACCATTTATTGATTTTCTGAGCGTGCCCTTCTTTGGATTTATTATAAAACCTCTTAGCACTCATGGTTATGTGTGATAGTTTTAAGTTATTTTGTTATCATCAAAGGATTATTTAATTCTTTAGAAACATTAAATTGCCATTTTGCTTCTATAACCTGGATTGGTAATCTTAAAAGAATACATATATTTTGTCCTGAAACGGTTCTTTTAATTTAATAGCATTCTCTAATTTTCAGATGTATATTATTCATTCTTTAATTTTAATTTTATTCTAATGAAGAATGATTGTATTTTTTTTTAAAAGGTAATTTGAATGGGTAGAGTGATTTGTTTGACTAACCACACTGTTAACAATTAATTCATACAATAAATATAAAATAAAATTCCACAAGAATAGCACTTTAAAGATAGACAAGCACTGACCAACAATAGTTTTACTGACCATCTGTTTGGTTGGCAAAATTAGTATTGATTTTACTGGTACGGTACAAGGAATATAAGTTAGGATTAATTTACAATGGAAAAATACACAAAAAATACTTTTAACTACAAAAATTGAAAAAAATTGTTGTTTGAATACTTTTTACTTAGCAAAAAGATAAAAAATGCTATCTTGGACAATATGTAATTTGTATTTTTAACATAGACTGTTTCAATTATTTATAAAAGAATAGCAAATTTAATTTTTTAAATTTTATTAAGTTCAAAACGTAAATTTTTTATGACTTCAATAGGGGAAAACGAATCACAGTAATACTTTAAAACAATAATTTCACCTTAAATCTTTATTTTACTAACCAAGGAATACACATTAATTGAGACTTTGTGGGGAAAACAAATTATTGAAAGTTTTAATTTGGTTTCACTACCTCTGATCTTACCTTTGTTTGTAGATTTCATTGAAAGTAAAACCAATAAAATAAAAAATAGTATCAGTATCAGTACCGGTATTGGCATTTTAAAATAATTTTGTTTAGATTGTGTAATATTTAAAAATATAATAACCTTTTTTAATGTAATGTTTGTGACAAGTAAAAAATAATCCAAGAAATATTGTTAGACTTAAGTCATACAGAATAAAATATTAATAACCGAATTTGAAAACTAATAACTTGTTATGATTTATAATAGTGTAACAATCAGATTAATGAATATTTTTTTTATATCATAGCTAAATGTTGGTGACACTACACAATTCTTTGAAGAAAAATCACATTGTTTTAATTACAAGTAATTTACTCTTTTTAATAAATTTTGAATAAAAATTACTTTTGATCATTTCTACTTGACTTATGTTCATTGTATAGGCCTACATATTTTTTTCTTCTGTAATAACATAACTATTTATGATATAAATATGATTTGGAAAAACTAGGTTTAGGCTACTGTATTTTTTTAAATAATAAATCAAAGAAAAAATTTAAATCAGTAATTAAATTCAATGTGTATTCAAGTTTCCTGCCAACATACATCATCTGCTGTTAAAGAGTTTTGCTAAAATAATTTTATTAACTGTTACGTTTTACCTGACTTTTTATGTTAAGGCTAATAAATAATGTGATTTATGTAAAAATATTATAGTCAATGTTTATAGTAACTTTTGCATAATATATTATGCACTGTCCATAATATATTATGAAACGTATATTATACGGTTTGTAGCTTAGAAAAACATTAATCACATAATTGATTATTCAGAACATCCTTTAAAATTATTTAAAATTAATGCATTTAAGATATATTTGTTTAATATTATAAAACCGTTATTATTAAATTTTCTAACGATAATTACTTAATAATAATAATGTTATATATAAATACTGTACTTTTAGTGTTTGCAAGGTTTCTAAATCTGTATTTCGTTACAATATTAAGTTCTGACCATCTATTTCTATTCTGACAAGTATAATTTCTGGTTAGTTTATCTATGATATAAAAGTTAGAACATCTAAAAAAAACATTTTAACTAAAATATCAACAATCAAATAGTAAAACTAAATACTAGATTTTCGTAATATAAAAGAACATTACAGTATTTGTTCTACCATAGTTTTCCAGAACTTATAAACCAAATTTTCATTGTTGCCATTTTAAAAACTGTAGGCTATAATAGTTTGCCAGCTTAACTACAATTGTAGGCCTATGTGTTGGCAAAATAGTCAACACAAACAATTAATTGCTTTAATATTTTTTAACCTCGATTTAGTGAAAAATTAGATGTTGAACGCACGTATTAAAAAAACGTAGATGTGTGCAAATAATTATTTTCCTAAGTACTTAACAACATTAAACATGCATAATAACGTGTTAAAACCGTATGGTAGAATTGGTGTTTAAACTATAATTAAAGATTAAATGCACTAAATGAAGAAATATATAATATTTATGGAGAATATAAACACTGAATTATCTTAACTTTGTTCGTACAAATTACAAATTTCGTATAAATTCATTAATTTTCGTGTTGATGTCCCAGTGTTGAAAACACCGTACTTTCAAATAAGCTATATTTATTTCCGTTAGCACGATAACTCGAGCATAAATTATCCGAACTTGGTGAAATTCGGTAAACATGTAAACATATAACAAAATGTTATACAAAAAAAAAACACAAAACAAACAAAATGTTAAAATGACAAAATGTTATATGTTTACACAAGGCCATATGGTCATGAACCCACAACTGTTCCTAATAAATGCAGCATTCCACAACTACAACACAAGGCAATGTAAAAATGTCCACCTAACCCAGGTAAACTCCACTTTAGTAGCAAATGGCCCTAAATTTATGTGTTCCAAAATCTATAACAAGATCCCAACTGAAATCAAAAATATTAAAGAAATAGAAAAATTCAAGACGTTACTCAAGAATTATTTATTGAAGAGGCCATACTACTCACTGACAGAGTACTTTGAAGATAAATAAAAAGGCCAATATTTTTTTGACGACCACGGCGCAGTGACGCTTCCAGTGGGAAATCTTCAAGTATCAAGTAAGTATCAAGTATCAAGTAAAATAATAACATGTAAACATACATTCAAACGAGTGCGCGAACTAGCATTATCGGACTATGAGAAGGGGTAAAAATTGGGTTTTCCCATTTTGCCTCTTAAAACAACAAATATTGCAATTTATTTCCAAACCATTTAGTCCAATCTGTAGAGCTTAAAAATAATAAAATGAGTATGTTTAAGCGTTTTATGCTATTAGGGGAAAATAAAAAATAAATTCTAATTCCCATGTTTTTCATGTGGAGAATAATTAACCGGTTGTAGTTTGTTTGAGAAGATATTTTAATAAAATTTTGAAAATGTATTTATTTTATACTAAACCATTAACATAAAAAAAAACTTGTTATTACCTTCCCTGTATCAGCAAACCTAAGTGCTAGAGTTATTTTTTAACTTCAACCAACAAAGGGTTAGACTCACCTGTAGACACATGGCGACGTGTAGGTAGACTAGCAGCGTCTGTCTCGCCATCCCGTCTCTTACCCTAGTTTTTGTTTCTTTTTGGCCTCCCCCATCACCCCCCCCCCCCCAACCCCGCGTATCATAATGTAATAACATCTTTTGTTGTTTCGCCGCGTCGCACCGTTCACCGGACCACCCTGCAACACTTGTTGCCTTCCAAAATAGTTTTCGGTGGTAAATTGTTTGGTGTTTGGTTTCTCTATGAAAAATCTGTAGATGTAGTAATTTGTATAAATTGTTTCTATTAATTGAAAATAAACGTTTCCTCAGGAAAGAAATGTTGATTTGAAAATATCCGTTTTTGTCTTGGTATATTGGGAATACTCGCTAAATTATGATTATTGTTTTACCAAGTTACAGGTTGTACAAATTTGTTATTTTTATTTTTAATCCCTCCCCCTATACGTGGTATATGTAGAAAGTATTGTTTTCGTCATAATTTTCTAGTTTGAGTGGGTATATCCTTTGTGGGTCCCTCTGAACCCAAAAAGGCCTATGGTGACCCTGGTGGTCTTCGAAGTGATGTCTGTCTGTGTGTGTGTCTATTTACAGAGCTACAGACCACATTGAAGTCCGATGTTGATGAAATTTGGTATGTAGGTACTAATCCATGGTATCTCCAGGTTTTTTTATTTTTTTCGAAATTTGTATTTTTAATGGTCGTTTTCCCTAAAAACTTATAAAATAACGGAAAAATCGGATTTTCTCAAAAGTGACCCGAACGATTTTGATAATCATTTAGTATGTTATAGTCCTAAATTCGAAACGAAATGGTACAAACCATATCTTCGTAAAAATTACGGTTCTAGAATTATTGTAACTTATGTTATTTTCCCATAAAACCCCATAAAATAGCAAAATATCGGGTTTTAGTAAAATACCCAGTTTTGACTAAAATTAGTATGTTGTGAAGTTCTAACTTTATTCTGATTGTTTTATTTAGGAAAACGTCTAACTCTAAGGCCCCTCGCCCACTATACGATTTCGGTCGTACGACACTGTGTCGGAACGACAACATTTCCACAGTGAACCATTGGATCTTATGAGAGCTCGCCCACTGTACGATAATTTCACGACTACGACAAACTGTCGTGAAGCAGTCGTTCACTGCCACTGTGATACACGACTGTCGTACGACTGTTTTACTCGCAGTGGCGTACACAATCAAATGGGCGCTCGCCCACTATACGATTTTTATCGTATGTCGTGCGTTCTCCCCAGTAGTCTTATATATACTTTTTGCAATTAACTCATACTTAGTCATTATTATAGTTGTTATATCACTTTGCGTATTTCTTATCGTGAATAAATATTTTTTACTATTCATTCATACTTTTTTATTATAATGTTTGATATATCACTTGGTTTTATTTTTCAACCACTATTTTGCGTAATTTTGATCTTCCTATTTATTTTTTACAATTTGTTCATATTTTTCTTTATATTATGTTTAAATACTGCATCACTTATGAGTAAATATACCAAAATAATTATTGAAAAAATGCGAGTTTGGCTATTATTTATTATTGTATAATCTTAATCTATATCTATAAAAGAGGATGTTTGTATATATATTTGTTTGTTTGTTTGTTTGGGGGTGATAAACTCGGACACCGCTGAACCGATTGCCACGAAACTTGGTACATACGTGTAGAATGTCATGGAATAGGTTTATACACCATCAATTTCGTGATCCGTCCAATAGGCTCCGCCCCAGTGGCTCTGGAGTTTCCCATGTTAACCTTATGAGAAATGGAATTAATGAATCTTAACAGCTGTTTCAATTAAACAAGTTGGTTCTGTTCTATGATGTTCAATAGCATTAGGCTAAAGTTACAAGGATTACCAACAGGGTGCAGCACTATTATTTCTTTTACATTTATGACAACAGCTAATTTGCAACCAAAAAGGTGAGTGAGCGTAGCGAACGAGCTAACCTGAAGGCAAGTGAGCGTAGCGAACGTGCTAACCTGAAGGCAAGTGAGCGCAGCGAACGAGCTCCAACCTAAAGGTGAGTGAGCGTAGCGAACGAGCTCCAACCTAAAGGTGAGTGAGCGTAGCGAACGAACTTCAACCAGGACGTGATTGAGCCATGTGAACGAGATCATCTTGAAAATTAAGAAGTTAAACGGGGCAAAGCCCGCGGGTTACAGCTAGTTATTAATTATATTGTGTAAAAAAGTTTCACTAAAACCTATAAATATAATTTTTGTAGATTATATTGATAAAATTAAATCATTAATATTTAAAAACTAATCCAAAAAAATTTAACATACATACTTTTTACCAGACTATCCCATAACCCTATGATAGTTATGGTAAATTTAAAAACTTGTAAAATGCATGGACTAATATAATTTGAAAACTTAAAAAATAATTTGCACATAAAAATAAATGTTTCTTTGATGCTGTAGGCCTACATTGGCCACTATCGCTTAATCTACGCCACAGAAGCCACATTGCAACACCACGTAACGGAATCATTGTTTTACTATTTGATACAAAACCACTGTTTTAAGATATTGCCCAACACACCCACACCTCACTCTTCCAGGGCTACCGAGTAACTGGCCATTTATCCGACAAAGTGTCGTAAAGTGGGCGAGGACCACACATACGATAAGAATATCGTACGACACAGTGTCGTACGACCGAAATCGTATAGTGGGCGAGAGGCCTAAAAACCATTGTTTTATCATGGCCTGATTAGGCTACAGACTATTTCCATCGAGTGTTCTTGTTTCTGTGCTGTATTAATCCACTCAAACTCCTAATGTTGGCAAAATATATTTAGATATTGCCCGTTGAATCACGCTGACAACAAAAGATGAATAACTAAAATATCACGTAACAATTTAAAGTCGGTAACTCAAACTGTTGTTGAAATTTTATATTTAGCAAATTTTATCACAACTCTAACGACCAAATTTAAGAAAATCGTTTCAAAGAAGAAAGCAGAAAATTCATTTTAATATACTGTGGACATCAATATTTGCGTTCATTGGGTAACCAACAATTATTATAGTTGGGACACTCTGTATATAGTGCTAAACGCCGCCGCCGCGTATAAAATACGGTGATCATTACAGTGATACAAATTTGATGTGTTAGAGCAGTTGCGCGACAGGGGCTCCACAATGTGGAAAAACCCCTATACTGTAAATCGATGAAAAAAACCTTGAAGTGGGGGACTAGACGTGCGTTCACCCTGACAAATGAATGCGCGTTTATTCATGAATGTTAGGAAAGGAACGACGCACCTTTTTCGATTCACTGAGTTACTAATGCGGCAACCAAAACGTCTTGCATTAAAACTAAACTTTAATTGATTTTTCAACATTGTTTGAGACCAAAAGAGGCCAATAAAGGGCAAATGATTGAATTCCAATTCCAATAACCACAAATGACTTGTGTGCTGGGCCAAAAGAAACTGAAAAGTCTTTGATGGTTTCAATAAAGTCCTCATTTGTAATGCGCGCCACATCACAGACATTCTTGCTTTTCTTACTAAATATTTTCGTTTTACAAGTTTATTGGGTTTGTCAAATCTAGGTTGATTTCTTATTGAGATTACTAAAGTTGTCGGGGTTTTGTTCAAGTTTTATAGCGATGAATAATTATGGTTGGAAAGCGATGTCGTATAGGATCTCATAAACTTGTCACAGGGTTGTCTAAATATTTAAAATACGTATCTTTTAAACGTTAGTCTAAAAAGTAGTCCTCTCGTTACGGACCAACGAAAACACAACATGACATGAATGGCTATAGAAATAACTACCTACTTTTAAGTTTGATCACTATTTAGAGGTTATAAGGAGTGGATACACGATATCGCTTGCGACAACCAAAGTTGTACTGTAGTTCGTTAAAAATTTACGTAACAAATATTTAACAATGTGATATTCTAAATTTATATTTAGGTGGCGTGGCTTGAAAGTTGGAGGCTATTTATTTTATTGAATAAATTATGTTCATTTGATTTGAGTGAATATTTACACCATTAAGAAGTAGTTCAGGATTTCTATGACAATTTTAGTAACGATTTAGAATAATGTCTTACGATTTTTTCTTTACAAAGTTACGGACGAATGAAATCTCACTAATCAAAGCATATGACAAAATTGCTGACCCCTATGGGCTGCTAATGGTTGTTATATATTACATTCTTTTGATTTGAGGTTATATTCTCGGCAGCAGTAAGAAATTCTTTTTAGATTTCTACGTCATTGGTTGTTTGGTTTTTTATGCTCTAGATAAGTTACCATGTATGTATAAATGAAGCAACTGTACATTATTTTCATATATTTGATTGTGGTGACGTTTGTGAATGCAATGTTTTATTGTTCAAAAGCAGAGAGAGTTGTTCAGAAGAGAGTACATATTATGAATACGGCCTACATTGGATAATTTCTTCTTGCATATAATGAAGTAGGCCTACTGTTATATGAACATATCTGTACACCATTGTAAAAATATTTTTTCACAGATAAAAAACGTGTCATAGTAACTTTTAAAAAGTGTTATGTTTTTCCAGGAACTGAATAGTATTCGTTTATAAGATCAGTTGCCCATAAACTCAGATGAGTTTGTCTTTTGTGGTATTCTATGTGAAAAAATAATATCCGCTGTGGACTTTTTCTGTTATTGCTATCCACATCTGGTGTAGAATTAAAGAACATTCTTGAATGGGTTTATTTTAATAAACACAGTAAGTTTTAACTATTGTATCACAGCATTTAATATAATTAACTTTTAAAACTGTTGTTTTGTATGATGCGATATTTAACAAATTAATAAACCTATTTAATAATTAAGTTTAACAGGTTTGAGACTTTCATATTTAGTTGTACTTAAACAAGGGTCAAATGGAATGTTTATATTTTATGTACTGTAATTTATTCTTGCATATTTAATAACTTACTTTTGTTATAAATGCATTATAGACGATATGATATTTATTTATATATTATATAAAAAAAGTAAATTAAATACCGGTACTCACCCATTATTTTCATAAAACAAATAAACCTGTTTTGGTTTTAGGTCATGATCACAATTAAAATCATGATTTTATATTAATATGACTTTACTTTAAGGAGTGTAAATATTACTGTGTTGCCATTTCTTTTGCTGTGACACAACAATAATATGGTCATCTACGCTGCCAGTGAGAACTCTCACATAGGCAGAAGCCCATTATTTGTGTTTATTTATATGTTGTTTTGCTGGTTAATTATTTGTCACAATAAAGATTTATTTGATTTACACAAAGAGGTTCCAAGTTGTCAAAATTCGTTGGTCGCTACTCCTCCACTCACACAGGGCATAAGATGCATTGTAAAGGGAACAAATGTCTTCTGAAGTTAGGGAAGTTGTTTCTGATAAGACCAAGTCTTTGGGTAGCAGAATCGTAGGAACATATGTCTACCAAAGTTAGGATAGTAGTTTCTGATAAGAATTCAGTTTTTGGGAAGCAGGTCCGAGATAAGAGAACAGTAGTAGGATTGCAGTTTCTGACAAGAGCACAGTAGTAAGATTGCTGTTTTTTTATAATAGCACAGTAGTAAGATTGCAGTTTCTGACAAGAGCACAGTAGTAAGATTTCTGTTTTTTTATAATAGCACAGTAGTAAGATTGCAGTTTCTGATAAGAGCACAGTAGTAGTGTTGTAGTTTCTGATAAGAATTTAGTAATTTGGTTGCAAAGTGGTTTGCCATCTTCCTTATTATTTTGATACGATTCAAGCATAGGCTGAAACAATTTTTAGAAGGTATACAAGTCCTTGATTAATCTAATCAGAGATTACATATGCTATGTAATCTTTGATCTAATTATTTAATTATCTTAAATAAGGATTTATATTGTTTGTTGACTCTCCTTTCTATCACCATTATTGCCTTATATGCAAATGTTTCCTTGTGTTTGTTTAATATATGCCACTATAAATAATATTTTTTTAATTATGATAGTGTCTATTTGTGTGTTTATTAGAAAAAAAACTAATATTTACTAATATTCCATAAAAAATAATCCCTAAAATAAGTATTTTTTCAATAGTTATTTGGTGTTAATATTTATGTGCTTTCAACTGCTTTTTATCATATTATCTTATTTTATACAGAAGTTTACGTACCATATTGGTACATACAAGCACAGTTGATATTGAATTGAAGACAGTTTTACTAACGTTTCACATTCAAAGAGTTTTGCGACTACAACAGCAAAAGACAACAGAAACGGAATTTAATATCAGCATCTGTATTTTATAAAAGAATGTGGCACCGGTGGCTCCTCTTCTAAAGTAAATGAAAACATTGCCTTTACCTATATGAAATTTTTTTTAAATAAACTAATAGTTAAAGTTATTTCAATTTGTCATATTTTAAACTGTATTTAAATTCATGAAACTGAAAATACTTTGCCATCCTATGCGACTAATAACTTTTTTAATGAGTCATATAACACTGATTAATTTTGTTAAACTACTGTCAAATTCATGGTCTTTATTGTACGATCAGTACTACTTTTTGTTGAGTAATGTATGTGATAACTAAATTTACATCTTAAATCAATCCACAAACTTTTATAAAATCCTGTTGACAGTTTTACAGCTTGACAAAATTTAAATTCATCAATCTTTTTCACACAACTGTTTTTATATTGTCATATTTTTGCTGATTAGGGAGGTAGCAGTTCAAACATTCAAATCTGAGAAATAATTGACTCAGTTGTTTTCTGTCCTGTTTTTGGTACAGTGTAATCCAAGGGTCTCCTAGGTGGGTTGAAGACCACTCACCCCCTCCCCCCTCACGCTTGTTATACTTTAATTGCTCCTGGCTTTGTGCCCCATCCCCCCTTGCATTCCTTCCCCACCCCACCCCTTAGGGCTTGGACTTTATTACTTGTTTGTTTATTCTGTCTTGATCATCCTGTAATTATTCTGTGTGTCCCTGCATCCCTTTGTTCTTGTGGAGAGCACCACACAAAATAACAAGTTTTTAACACAGGTTTTTGGAACAAGTATTTGTTTTCTTTCAGTTATTGTTATTTATTTGGTGACGATATATCATCTCAACTTAACAATATAAACAAAAGTTTACCTTGGTGTTTTACGAGGTAAATTATATTTTGCCAGGGTTGAATTTAAGCACTGTATGTTAGTATAGGGATAAAAGAACGAACACTGTTTCAGAGTGCAGTTAAGAGTTGCCAAAAAGGCAAAAGTAACCCCATAAAAATACACTAGCTCAAAAATTTGTTTGTCAAGAAACAAACTTTATTCATTTCATATCCACTTTTCTGCAAGGTATTTAACTGCATTAATATGGGTTGGTTGCTATAGTTTGTACGGGTTATGAACATTCAACAACCTGGAAATATTACTGGAAATGAAAATAAAATAGGCTTTCTAATAGGGTATTCTGTATAGTAAAAACTCAGTTTATTAAATTTCTATAGACTGGTTGCTATAACCATGCTTCACAGAATAATGATTGACATCAACCTATGTTACTACAGCATATTTGCATTTTAGATTGGTCAACTGTAAAATATCAATTTATGATTAGGATATTTCAACTAACATAAAAAAGATGTTGGGGACCAAGCTGGTCTAGTAGAGTGTATGTAATTTTTCAATATATTTTAGCTATGCAATGTGCACCTTAGGGTGCTCAACTAAAATAATAGACTGTTTTATAAAATAATTGTAAAACACAGGGTTTTATTTTTTAATGAACCAGCAGTCAAATAACACTTAGCATTAGAATATTTTGAAGTAAACTAAAAAAAATATATTCATACATTTTGGTATCATAAATATATTAAAGTTTAGGGGGTTTATTATAATAAATATTTAATAAAACATGTTTTAATGGTAGCTAACAAATATTTAATCACTACAAACAACAATACCTTGGCAGTAGTTAGCTGTTTAAGATTACTCCAGTATATTTGAGGTTTGGCCTAAGTGCATTCATTAGGCATAGAGTGCAAGGATCCATGAATAAATGAAAATGGAGCTAAAAGGTTGTGGATTAGAGAGGAGCCAGTAAACTCTGGCTGGGGTTAGTGCTTTGAACAGTCAGACTTTTGCGTCAAAATCCACCTGGCTTACAAACTGTTGCTACCTTCCTGGCTAAGATTAGTTTTAAATTAATTTTGTCGACATCCTCTTTAGTTGGAAGTTTGAAGAGCATATACATCTTATATCTTTTATAATCCCACTAGGATAACACTTTTGTCAAAGATAGGTAATGAATACAGCCAATGATAAGCTTAATCAATACCTTAAAATCCCCTCTAGGATTCCAAGTTGTGAGTGGGACATTTTAGATGTAAATAATGCAACAAAAATAAACCCCAAAATGTTCTTAACTTACCTTTTAATATATTTGTTTTATTGTGTCACACAGTTGATAGTATTAAACAAACAAGAAAATGTATTTGAATATGTATGAAAAAAAATAGTATTTATAATTTATCAACTTAAATAAATTAGAAAAAAAATTACGGTAGTGAATTTTCTGTCTATTAATCATTTTTTAATGTACTGCAATTAATGAAGTAAGACCCACACCCGAGGCAATTTTTTTCTCATATCCCCAGAAAAGAATAACCCATTTTATCATTTAAAAAAATTAAAAATATACCTTTATTTTAATTTTATTAATTTGGTTTACTTTTAAAATGGCCTTAGTGTTGAAATCTTGTAAGTATTTTAATAAATAATTTATTTAATGCTTAAAAGGATACTCAGTTTATTAATGTCATATAATACCCCCCCCCCCCCCCCTTATCACTCTGTTTTTCATATATATGTATGTGTGTGTGACCGTCCGTTAGCACGATAACTCTAGTAAGAGTCATCCGGCTCATAAATTATTCTTGTTGAAAAGATTGTTAAGGTACGGAACAATGGGACATTACATTTTGCTATATTAACAATTAACATCAATCTTAAACGCAAATATTATTTCAATCATTGTAATCATTACATAGAAATATGTATCAATATATTAGGCATTTTATACCGAAGAATAGTGTAAATCAAGCAAGAAAGTGATGTGCAATTTCTTTCTAAAGCTCTCAAATTTCTCATGCTTTGAAAGAAATTTGAAAAAGTGATACTTATTTAATTGCTGACATAAATAAAAATGTGTAACGTGTCTAAGAAAATCTGAGCTAACTGATATCCATATCCATCATGGGGGAGCGAGCTGGTCTAGTGGTTAGAGCGCGGGACTTCGGTTCCAGAGGTCCCGGGTTCAAATCCTGCCAAATCACCAATGGATTTAACACGTTCACTGCTAATGACGCACTTGTGCGTCATAAGTATATTAGCAGATATATAATACATGATGAATATAATTACATAATATATTTTAATCCACAATTTATAGTATAAAATTTATTTAATTAAAGATATATTGTCACTCAATTAACATGATCATGTTAATGTTTATGTTTTTTAGCCATTTATAAAAGTATTACATATCATTAGCAGTGAATGTGTTAATCTATGTGATAATGCCGCAACCCCTAGGTCTAGCCTGAAGTAATGTGAAAAACAATTCCGGGCTCGTGCCTAGCGTCCTGGGACAAAAAAAAAAAATAAATAAAAATATCTACATGTTGCAGGAAGCTGATGATGGTTCAGTGTCGGGAACTCCTGGATACATTGATCCGAGCAGCTTCACATCCAAGGTGAGTTGGCAGTTTTACCCATTCAAATTTTCAATTTTCAATTTGATTTTTTTTTTCATGTTCCCACAAAACCAAAACAAAACTACATCCCAACTATATTCACGAGGTGAAATAGTTTTTGTTAATGATTTGTAGCATGAGTTGAATGATCAAATATTGGTTTTCTTGCGTTTTTAATCTCATTTTTGCAAGAAACCGTTTCAACCTTTTAGCCATCATCAGTTCCGATGGGTGCATGTTCTGGATGAGCCGTGAATGGCCAAAAAGTCAAAACACGTTTTCTGTGAAATATAGTATTGAAAACGGAAGAAAACAATAAAAAAACATCTTGTTTATATCTTGTATGGACTAAACAAAAAATCTCTCAAACTTTACTTTATTTTAGTTTTAATTGATGTTTGTGAAAAGTTTATCTTTAAAATAATACGTCAGACTTTAAATTGTTTGTGTGTGATAAGGTAAATTTGTATTTTTTTCAAATGCTGACATTTTTCATCAATGAGTAATACAACACAAGATAAGAGTTGCTTCAGAATCTGGAATTTGATTCTATATTTGTCCAGTAAAATCTACAACTTGGCAAAATTAATAGACAACAGATTTAGTAACACAATACATTTCCTGAAAATGACATAAGTTTACAACATTCACATTCAAATTTAAAAAAATCCAGTAAAACGTTAGGAGAAAGATCAAATTTTAAAAATCTCAAAAGCTTTAACAATTTTAAACCTTAAAAAAATTTTAAAAGTAACAAATTTTTTAGCTTTAACAAATTTTAAAAATCTCAAAAGGTAACAAGTTTTTTTTTCGCAGGTTACCGTCAAGGCAATATACGACTACCAGGCTCGTCACGATGATGAACTATCATTCTGCAAGCACGCCATCATCACCAACGTGAACAAGCAGGATGGGGGGTGGTGGAGGGGAGACTACGGAGGCAAGCGGCAACAGTGGTTTCCCTCCAACTATGTGGAGGAGATTGAACCTCAGAGAGACGAGCCCAGAGATGATACGGTAAAATCTCTTACCTTTTACTTTGGACATTCTATTCAAATTAGCAAAATGGTCATTTATTTTCTTCGAGTAGTTGTTTGAATTTCAAACGCTAGGTTTTTTTCTTCACTTTCCAATGAATTTATGTCGTCAATCGTGGATCTTTGTGCAACATCTAATCTGTAGTTGTCGTGTTGAAAATATTCCTTACTTCAAGTATTCTCGACTTACAAAATTGTATTTAAAGAAAAACTCTCCTTAAACCTGATTTTTATGTAAATAGCGTATGAAACATAAATCTTGTTAGGCCTATATAGTGTTATGAAATTGTTACCAAGATGCAGTAGTCCCCACTGCTATCTCCACTGTATAAGAAACTTATGTAGTAAGGTATATAACCCAAGCTGTATAAGATAGCTGCCTTCATTCTTTAAAAATATTCGACTAACCCTTTGATCTAAATCTCTCCCACTTGCAGTTGCTTTACAGTAAAATGAAACATGGAATGTTGGAGCAAAAGGGATCTTCTATGACTTGTTTTTCTGTTACAGTCGACAGACTCAATGTTCCTGGGCAGTTTACAGAAGGGCAGCTTGGATGTGATGGGAGCCGTGGTAGAATTGGCGACTACCGGACGACCTGGGCTGGAGTGGGTGCTGAGGATACAAGTGAGCATAGTCTAATTAGTATCGCAAGTCATATTAGAAACAACCATTAGGTTTGATTCATAAATAAAACGATATCAGCAAACTGACACAAACTTTCTCCCATTAGCTCTACATTGAAATTTTACATGCTACTACTTTTATGAGCAACAAATTTCAAACAATTACATAACCTTGGGTATCGACACCAAGTTCTATAAAAATCAAATCACAGTTTTACTCTGTAGCTGTACATTGTTATGGAATTTTATAGGAAACTAGCTGTACCCACGGGCTTTGCCCCGTTTAACTTCATAAGTATTCGCATGGCTCAATCACGTCCCGGTTGAAGTTCGTTCGCTACGCTCACTCACCTTTAGGTTGGAGCTCGTTCGCTGCGCTCACTTGTTTTCAGGTTAGCTCGTTCGCTACGCTAACTCGCCTCCAGGTTGATGTTCGTTCGCTACGCTCACTCACCTTTTGATTGCAAATTAGCTGTTGTCATAAATTTTAAAAAGTCATCCCTTTTATTGTTTATAATACTTTGATAAAGGTTTTTATGCTTTAATATTTAACATTGGAGAATTTAAACGTTGTTAAGTGCACAGGTGTGCTGCGATTGGGGTTTAATACATTTGGACTTATTCAAAAGTAAAATAGTTTTCTGTGCTGCACTCTGTAGAAACACTATGGCACTATTTCAAATCATGACTAATGCTAATACAGAATGTTGTAATTATTCAAACCTACAAAACAGTTGGTAAAAGTAAACATCTGCTTTTAAATTATACTTATTTGTAAACATTGTAGATCAAAAAGTCTGACATTGGCCCACTTAAAACCCTCTGGGGCAGAGCCCTTTTGACAGATCTGCACCAAACTTCACTCGAACCATCCTTGAAAGATGCTTAATAATGCCTGAAAGTTTCATTACAATCTGTCGAGTGGTTTCGGAGTCCATAACGTATATACATACACACACATACATAGTTCCTCTTTTATAGATATAGATTACAATAACTTTTGAGCTGTAATTTTTACAGTGTTAGGTGAAGTGATTTTGTTTATATGTTTGAAAGGACAACAAGGTTCTATGTTGGAGCCATTTTTGTAAAAATCAAATTTGTCCACTTTTTAAATTGGTTTTAAATTGGAAAATCATCATTAAAAATCAGAATTTCAAACAAATTAAAAGAAAACACCCGGAAAAATATGTACACAAAATTACCTCAAAATCAGACCACTGAGTGTAGTCGATATCTCGGTACACATCCACCATCACACATATATCATTTGGAAATTTTTTTTTCTGGGCTAAAATGGATGTTACAGCCAAAACTCAAAATTTGGACGAAATCAGTACTTTTCCCTCATACATTATCCTCATATAGGAGGAGAAATTAAAAACACAATAAATCCTATGAAGATATTCTTTTAAGTAGGCTACCTATTTCAAAGTAATAATTCTTAAGAACTCTTATGATCTTTTGAATAATTTTTCCAATTTTGTGATTTTCATCAACTCAATTTTGCAAGCATAAGGTCATTCATAGTGTTTCCACATCTCATAAAACTTTTGATAACAGGCCGATTGTAATTTTTAAATAATGTTTCCATTCCATGCATTTGGCCAACGTTAAAAGCATATAAATAATTGCCCCATAAGTATTTAAAAATAGACTAATCAATTATAGATAGTGGATTTAATCCTAAGGCTTGACATTCAATTACAAACAGTTGTATTTTCATATTTACCCTATAAATTCCATTTGCTAAATTTGGATAGGCTATGTTCAATTTTTCACTCACCCATAATCTGTAGTAGCTTATATAGTTTAAAAAACTTACTGTCCATGTTTGTCCAGGTCCATTCAGTTGAGATTGATTTTGTCGTTGACTTTTTTATTATTTAGTTACTACGGCTTACATAATTCGTCATTTTGACATATTTCCAATCAATTTTAACTTTCGATGAACCAGACTTTTTTTGTTAGACTCTAGTTTGGTTTCAATGTGTCCTAAGGAAAGGAAGTCTACTGTTTAAATTTTTAAAACCCAGTCAGGATGGCTTGGAATAGAGAGATTGGTTTTAGCGAATTTCCCATATAGGGAATATTAGCGAATTTCCCATATAGGGAATATTAGCGAATTTCCCATATAGGGAATATTAGCGAATTTCCCATATAGGGAATAAGCTATTACCGTAGTACTCATGGTAAGACCTGGACCCGGGACCGATTTTTTTTCCGTTTTGAGGTCCCTAGAGGCCAAAAACACCATCCGTTCAAATTCATATATATATATATAGGTATATTTATATATATATATGTGTCCGTTAGCACGATAACTCGAGCAAAAATGATCCGATTTTGATTAAATTTGGTACAAACGTGTAAACCTACGTTTATTCGAACGAGTTCGCGAACCAGCATGATCGGACCATGGGAATGGGGGTTTATGGGGGGTTTTATGGGGTAAAAATGGGTTTTTCCCATTTTTGACCCAAAAAACATCAAATTTTGCAATTTCTTTCAAAACTATTTTGTAGAGCTTAAAAAAACAAATAATTTAGTATATTGAAGCGTTATAATGCGCCTAATGGTTGCGGAGAAAATTCCAAAAAATTGCAAATTTAAAATCCCCATGTTATTCTTATGGAGAATAAGTAAACTGTTGTAGTTTGCTTGTTTATTAACATATTTTGCCCAAATTTGGAACATGTTTTTATTTCTTACTAACAATTAACATTTTACATAAAAAAACACCTTTACCCTCCCTGTTGCAGCAAACCTAAGTATGTGTTAAACTGATTCTATTTAAATAGGGATAAATGTGATATTTTTAAGGATACATTTTAGTGTAAATCCAATCAGGCAAATGGAAATTCGCTTAGTCTGCAGGTTTGCTGCGGCGGGGGTATTTTACTTAACTACTGTTTTTTAAAGTCATAAGTCATCATTTTTGTACTTATTTGTTGACACTTTGCCAGGTTCCCAACATGTGCAGTGTGTTTGAGGTGGCTGTTCCCTCAGAAGACCAAGCCATTGAGTGGATGACGGCAATCAAGAAGACGGCTCAAACCGCCAGTGACCGGGTCTGTACTGTGATGCTAAGTATAGACTTAAGCGTTCTTCTAACTCAATTTGGACACTCTTCAAACTTATTGCATACTCAAAACCAACAAAAAAGTTTCTTGTGAAGAAATGACATTTTGATCAAATAAATCTTTTCTCTGTTTCTCAAAGTACATCTCGTACTTAACTTTCAGGAATTTTTAACTTTTTAAATAATCTTGCATTCATAACTCTTAGTGGTGAATATTGAATTTCATTGAATATTGAACCATATTGAATTTCAACCCGATTACTCATAGGTCAAGATGATTTTTCCAGGAGATTCAAAACAAAGAGATGGAACGGACGTGGAGGATTGCGAAGGAGATGTCAAACCTGATCATTTACTGTAGATCTGTTGCCTTCAACATGGACAGGATACGAGTGAAGGGGTTCATATACAATGAGATGAGTTCCTTCCCAGAGACTAAGGCTGAGAAAACCATATGTCAGCAAGAGAGCAGGTTCTTCCTCAAATACCATCAGGTAAGGCATCCAGCCTAGAGATAATCTTAAGATGAAGATAAAACCAAAGAACATTAATTTTTACTGTCTTTACTTACTAGACTGTAAATATACGAGAGATGCCTGAAAATTTCCGCGAAAGGTATCCGCGATACAGTTGTTGCCTAGTGAGGTAGTTCAAATGTGACACCAGTGTTGTTTCTGAATCTCCCCCGCCACAATTCTGGCCGGTCTGAACCCCTATGTGACCGTTTGAGTTTTGTGAGTTTTGTCGTAGCCGATAATTATGTGAGAGAAAATCTACGCTTCCGCCAAGTACGAAGCCAAAAATCTGTGGTCTGAGAGGTCAACTGTTATACACTAGGAATGATGATTCTGAATAGTCGTGAAAGGAGAAAAGTGTTTCAACCTTCAACACAACAAATTGTTTTTCAGAAGTAGATGCGTTTGGAGATGGTTAACATGTGCACAATGTTGTTTAGGTGTAGGCCAGTGGCAGCCGTTCATTAGTCGTTTGAGGCAGTGACCAAAGTTAGGAATATTTTGTTGCAAATTACAGTGTGACTGAACAGAAATTGCCTAATGCCTGCATACTAGGGAAGAACATCAGCAAATGAGAGTACATACAATTTCAATGAGGACTAAAATTCTACTATCTTTATAAGTGTGTTTGTTTTGTATAGTTTGTAATTATTATTGTTGATTCAGTTCCAGTTCAGCAGAGTCTACCCCAAGGGTCAGAGGATAGACTCTTCTAACTACAACCCCATCCCCTGCTGGAACAGTGGGTGTCAAATGGTCGCTCTCAACTACCAAACCCCAGGTAATCCTCTGGTTTGTTATTCCTTGAGGGGAAGCGCTTTCATACCCTTCACCTTACCCTAACTTTGAAAACAGCCAAAAGCTCATCAGTTGATGTATCAGGCTGTCCAAAACACAAAACCGTTCAAATTAGGGCTCTGAAGTTGTTCAACAACCCCCCCCCCCCCAAATATTTTTAAGATGTTTGAATCGTCCTTTTTTCAAGGATCCGTTAAAGCCTGGCTTCTCGATCGACCATTGTATTCGGTCAATTATTAATTTGATGCTTTGGACCAAACAGAGACTCAACTTGTCCAAATAACGTTGTCAATAGTATCTTTATTTTTTATACAGTGTATCCAGAAATTCTGGTCATAGAGGCGGCAGGAGGTATTACGGTACAGCATACATTCTTGTGTAGGTTAAAGAAAAAGTTCTGTAATGAATTACTGTCTGATTTTTTTCTCTACCCTAAAATGTGCTAATGTACGGAATACCCCTAGGCTCTTTGGAAACTAATTTTTAGTCACTTGATGTAACATATTATTTGCAGACAAACCTATGCAGTTGAACCAAGCCAGGTTCAGGCTCAACGGAGGCTGTGGATTTGTACTGAGACCAGAGGTTATGTTTCGTCCAGACTATGATCCCCTTGTCCCCCCTCCACCCTTTGTGGCGAACTCTATCTCTGTTTCTCTCAAGGTCAGTTGTCTTCTGTGTTGATTTGGATTGTTTACAGTTAATTAATTTATAGTTGTTGCTATTATAAATAAATGGTAAAAATATAGGTTACTAACCTTGGTGAGAAAAATTTTATGTGTCCATAGACATTTTTAAAAACTTGAAAACCTATACCGATACAATTTTAAACAATAAGTAGGTACATATAGAAAGTAATATGTATGATTAGCATCAACGCTTACACCTACCGACCAGTACACATTAAATGTGCACTTTAAATGTTTTGTTCTTTTTGTGTACGTTTACTTATTACACCATTTAATACTAAAACTCAAATTTCTGAAACAACGACAGATTTATTTATTCATGAATATTGTATTTTTGTATTATACATTTTTTCAACAATGAAAGATTAGTTTATAGTAGTACACTACTCCAAACCAATATTTCTAAAACTTTTAAAATTTAAAAACATAACAAGTGATGGTTTATTACCTACACCTAGGCTGATAAAAACAATAGCAATGCAGCAGTTGTTCCTAATTACTAAATAAAATCCGTATCTATTTAAATTATAAATTTGGATTTTTTAAGTGGCGGACATACATTCACGTCCTAGGACGCTAGTTCTAGCCCGGAATTGTTTTACACATTACTTTAGGCTAGTCCTAGTGGGTTGCGGCATTATCACATGGATAAAATCCATTGGTGATTGGCGGGATTTTCACCTAGGACCTCAGGCACCGAAGCTTGCTCTAACCACTAGACCAGCTCGCTCCCCAAGCTGTGAACATTTGAAAACAACAGACATTTCTGTGGACAGTCATTACAAAGATCGTGTAATCTAGTTTTGAGAGCAAATTATTTTGTTCTAGGTGATAGCGGCGAGACATCTGATAAGGTCAGGTAGAGGAACCACCAGCCCCTTTGTAGAGGTAGAGGTGCTCGGAGCGGACTACGATTCTGGCACCAAGCTGACTACCAAAACTGTCGGTGAGTATTGAAGAATAAAATAACTTTTATGATCCATAGTAACAGGAAGAGTAAGCTTGCACTCTACTGTGCAACACAATTCTAGATTCGAAAGTACATAATAAATTCAAGCGTAAAATATGTACTAATTTTTATCAGGTATTCTCCGAACCTAAGAAGCAATTGTGAAAATGCAGCACATACGCATTTAATTCTTAAGGTCTTTTTATCAGACTGAATAGAGCGCAGAATTATAAGGAAATGCACACCCTATTTTTTCAAACAAGTTAATATATTTACGTAATTGCATTATGCAAAATTAAATATAGCTTCATGAACAAACTTTTAAGATTAATTAAATACATAATATTAATTAAAATCTAGTACCAACAGCTACATTAACTTTTATCTTTTTTTTAAGCTACAAAAGAATATCCAATGGTATGAAAAAACTGACTAGCATAATTTCTTTACTACTGAGTTTGAAGGTTTTTCTCTTAACCTACCAAGTCATACTGTGGCATATCAAATTTTGGTTTCTTCAAAGCATTTTGTTTCAATAAACATATCGTTGCAGCTGACAACGGTTTGAATCCGGTGTGGAATGACTCGGTCAGTTTTGAGGTCATGAATCCATCGCTAGCTCTGCTGAGGTTCCAGGTACAGGACGAAGACATGTTTGGGGATTCAAACTTCATCGGACAAGCGACGTACCCTGTGAGTATCAGAGAGCAAAAGTAATGTAATTTACTTAACATAGGAACTTCAGTGTTTTGGACTTGTCCAAAAGTAAAATAGTTTTCTGCACTGCATTCTGTGGAAACAGTGTGGCACTATTTCAAATCATGACTAATACAGATTGTTGTGATTATTCAAACCTACAAAACAGTTAGTGAATCTGTTTTTAAATTACATTTATTTGTAAACATTGTAGCTCCAAAAGTCTGACATCGGACCCTTTAAAACCCTCTGAGGCAGAGCCATTTTGACCGATCTGCACCAAACTTCACACAAATCATCCTTGAATAATGCTTAATAATGCCTGATAGTTTCATTACAATCTCTCGAGCGGTTTCGGAGTCCATAGGGTATATATCAAGAATCAAGAATCAAGAATTTTTATTCATCGTTAACGCTATGTACAACACATGCAATGGATGAACGTCATAATAGTAGCCTAAAGTTTACAGGCAATAAGGCTAAATAAATATAGACAATAAAATATAAACAAGTGCAGAGTACATGCAAAAAGTATCACAGTCATCTTAAAAATAAAATACTGAAGTTTATAAAAAACATAGGTATGCAAAGACTAGAGCAAACATGAAAACAGGTGCAATGTGTATACAATAAATGCAGTGTGTTTAAAATAAGTTAGAAAAAAAACATAGCAGGGGCAAGAAAAGAGTATAAAATTTAAAGACAATACTAACAAACAGACAGATAAAACTTATAAAACAACTCAGCCCTTGGCTATATCACAGACAGACAGAATTTAAAATTGAATATCAACAGGCAATACAAAGAATTCATCGAGCTTGTAAAATGGCCTTGCAACCAACCAATTGTAAACAGACAACTTAAACTTAGTGAAAGATACATTATGTGCAGAAACAGGCAACTTATTAAATAGATTAATGTACATAGTGCGATGCTGGGATTGTGATTTACTCAAACGAACATAAGGCTGATTGAGTGAGGACATGCTTCTAGTGCAATAACCATGCACACTACTTCTGAGTGGATACTCATGCAGATGTTGCTTAACATGCAACAGGCAAACATAAATATACAGGTTAATCACTGTCAAAATTCCTTCGCTGACAAAGAGTGGTTTACAGTGTGCTTTAAAAGCTGAGTGTGTGATTATACGCATCGCCTTTTTTTGTAAGCGCAAGACTTTATCAATACTGTGGCCATTCCCCCACAGACGAATGCCATAAGAAATTATTCCATTAAACAAAGCATAATACACATTTTTCAGGTACACTTTAGGGATCAGCTTCTTTAAATGCCACAAAAGAGAAATCACTCTAGATAGTCTGGTACAAACATTCTGTATGTGAGAATCCCATGTAAGTTTGGTGTCAACAGTAATACCTAAGAGCTTAACAACAGAATCTACAACTACATCAGATTGAACATCAAACTGGCACAAGGAAAAACATATTTGTTGAGTTTTATTGGTATTCAAAAGGAGGCCATTTGCTTCAAACCAGATTGTGCCATCTGCCATCACATCAGACATAATGTTACAGAGCTCAGCAATATTGTTACCTGAACAGAAAAAGGTAGTGTCATCAGCAAATATGACTTTGTTACAACTAATATTTACAGGAAGGTCATTAATTAAAACAAGGAACAGAAAAGGGCCCAGAACCGATCCCTGGGGTACACCACTTTTGACTACCGTTACCTCTGAGAGACTGTTTTTAAAACAAACTTGTTGCCTGCGGTTTGCCAGATAATTTCTAAAAAAACTTAGCTCCACACCACTTACACCATAATACAGTAATTTATTGAGAAGGATCTCATGAGACACACAGTCGAACGCCTTAGTCAGATCACATAAGGTGGTCAGGGTACTAAGGTGGTTTTCAAAGCCATCAATCACAGCTGAAACAAGGCGGTCGACTGCATCCTCACAAGATAAACCTTCCTGAAAGCCGAATTGAAATTTTGAAAAAAGTGAATTCACTTCAAAATATTCACTCACCTGGTGCTTCACAGCCTTTTCAATAATTTTGGAAAAGGTCGGTACAACGGAGATCGGTCTGTAGCTTGCAGCACAATCTTTAACACCTCTCTTATATACAGGCACCACTTTGGAGAGCTTTAACACATCCGGAAACTGCCCTGTACGCAGGCATTCGTTGACACAGTGGGTTAGGGGGAGAACAATCACAGGTAACATACTCTTGATAAAATTTCCACTGATACCATAGATATCTCTGCTATGGCCACTTTTCAAATTTTTAACAATATTTTCTATGTAATCACAGGACACAGGTTTGAACTTGAAGATGGGGTTTGGGTGTTGGTGATTTCCCAGCAAATCAGACGCTCTTTCTGGAGATAGGTTGACTTGTTTACTGACATCTTCCACAGATGAGATGAAATACGAGTTGAAGTCTTCGGGTGTGAGGTTGCAGTCATCATTACGAGTAGGCCTGTTCCTGGAGTTGTTTACAATCTCCCAAGCTGTTATACATTTGTTGTCTGATTGGGAAATTTTAGTCACATTGTGGTCCAGTTTAGCTTGTACAAGAGCTTTCTTATATCTTCGTTTGGCAGCCAAATACCTGAATCTAATAATATCCACAGAAAGATTATATTTTTTAGCCCAGAGAAGGAAGTCATACAGTTGCGATAACTCCTTTCTCATTTGTTGATGTTCTTGCTTAAACCAGGTAGGCCCAAGCTTAAGAGATTTCTTCGCATTATCCTACTAATATTATAAATGAGAAAGTTTGGATGTATGGATGTATGGATGTATGGATGTATGTTTGTGACAAGTGAACGCGAAAAATACTGGTCGGATTGGGCTGAAATTTGGCATGATGATAGCTCACATTCCCAATTAACATATAGGCATGTTCTTATTTCAAAAATCCTTTCGGGCTCCGCCCCAGTGGCTCTGGAGTTTCCCATGTTAACCTTATGAGAAATGGAATTATTGAATCTTAACAGCTGTTTCAATTAAACAAGTTGGTTCTGTTCTATGATGTTCAATAGCATTAAAGTTACAAGGATTACCAACAGGGTGCAGCACTATTATTTCTTTTACATTTATGACAACAGCTAATTTGCAACCAAAAGGTGAGTGAGCGCAGCGAACGAACTTCAACCTGGAGGCGAGTTAGCGTAGCGAACGAGCTAACCTGAAGGCAAGTGAGCGCAGCGAACGAGCTCCAACCTAAAGGTGAGTGAGCGTAGCGAACGAGCTCCAACCTAAAGGTGAGTGAGCGTAGCGAACAAACTTCAACCAGGACATGATTGAGCCATGGGAACGAGATAATCTTAAAAAATTAAGAAGTTAAACGGGGCAAAGCCCGCGGGTTACAGCTAGTACTTCATAATTCTAACAGGGTAAAAAGTGTCAAAGCTCTGAAAAAAATGCATGAAAACATGTTCAGGAAAATTATCACAGGAGTTGCTATTGATAGTGAGCCAATCAGTGTTAAGCATGTAGGACATAAAGTTTTCATTGTTTTTTTGGCTAAAACAACGAGTAATCTTAGAAGTCGTTTCTTGATGTTTGTTGCTACAGTCAGTGGGCGTTAGCTTAATTTCCAGAGCCTGATGGTCAGATAAAGGCACTGAAGTAACGTTAACATCTAGAAGTTGTCTTGGGTAGTTGGTAATAACATTGTCGAGACAGGCGGGTCCTCTTGTAGGCTTCTCATTTGAACAATAGCAGTCAACAGAGCGGAGAGCATCCAGAAATTGGAGAGGTAATGGCTCTCTAAGGCGAATATCGATATTAATGTCGCCACACAATACCACAGGCACATTCATTTTAGACAAAAATAAAATCAACAGTTCTACATTCTCCAGGAAAATCGCCGCATCCCCATCTGGAACTCGATAGACTGACAAAATGATTATTTCCAAGTTAGGGTAATGAACCAAGACCGCCACAACCTCAAAATGTCTCTCAACACAAAAGCGAGTATCGCAAAACTCAGATCCTCTCGGACAAAAATTGCCACACCACCCTTAGTTTGAATAGTGCGACAAAAAGCTGTTGCACATAACCCTCAATATGCACTAAATCAATAGTGTCAGGCCTACACCAATGCTCACACACACAAAGCACAGAAATATTTTGACTGTGTAGAATAGGATCAAGTTCGTTTTGCTTATCCAATAGGGATTGGGTGTTTACGGAATAGATGTTGTAATCAACCCTTTCCACAGAGGCAATCCTGTTAGCTGATTCCTTGTTTAGTTCTAGGTTCCGTTTGTTGTTTTGGACAGCTCGGAGTTTAAATGCTCCAAAGCAGGCCTATTAGAAACGATCTGTCCACTTTTCCTTGGCTTATAAACAGATACAAAGGCATTTTCTGGCCAAAATTCAGGTTTATATATGTCATCAAAATGCTTTGAGGGTATTCCTACTTTGAAAGATGAATAATGGTTAGGGTACTTACACTGTAGTTTCTCCACTATGTACTGAGAGTCAATTTTACCCTTTAGAAAGTCCGTTACGTTTTCACAGGTTGTATCTGGGCTTAGTTTGGAAACAAATAAGAATGTTTTCTTGTCTGTTGTACTTAGGTTAAGTTCGGAAGTTGACTGTCCAGTAATGAAACCGTACTTTACACTCTTGCTGTTTGACCCTGACCTAGGCCTAGTCCCTGTGTTATTTGTTTGTCTCTTTGGTACAGATGTTTGTCTCCTTTTTTGTCCCCGGGCCTTGACCACTGTATAAGGCAACTCCTCAGAAGCTTCCACAGGAAAGTCCGAATCACTCAGTGACTGTGAGGGCGAAGTTAGTCCTACACCTAGACCTACAACAGGGTTAGGCCGAGAGCTTTGACTACACATTGATAGGTTAGGATTTTGAGCATGTTTTTTAGTCATTTTATTTGTACTATTAGGCACTTTAGTTGCTGAGTTAGTGAGTCTAGGGCTCACTGAATTTACTTTCAAAGAATCTGCGTATGTTTTACCACCTGCAGAAGAACCATTTATTAACAGGTCGTCCAGAGCCTCAGCTTGATTGTTTACTGCCGATCGCAGGAGTTTCCTGTCATTGTCCATTTTAATTAACTGAGTGGTAATCACATTATACTTGTCATAAAGATCAGAAATTTGATCGGTCAAAAGTTTAAAATCGTCTGGACATTGTCCATTGTCAATTTCAGCATCAATTCTCTTTGGCGAACACGAAGTCTCAGCAGAAGCAGAAGCCGGTGCACGACACTTCTCACAAATATACACGGCTTTACCTTTTAGAGCTTTGAATAACTCGTACTCTTCGTCAGTTACATCAATGCAGGTGTTATGATGCCATAATTTACAAATCCCGACACATAGGAGTGCTTTACTAGTTTTCGTGACGTTTTTATTACACGAACCGCACTTTGACTGTTTGCTATGCGCCGCCATCTTGCAGTGACCATGGTATATACATACATGCTTCCTCTTTTATAGATATAGAGTGATTGAACAACAAAGTGTGCCTGGTAATTATTTTCTTCAGTCAAAGACAAAATGTGTCGTGTACATTCTCTAGCCGAGTGTTACGATTGCAGATGGTTGCGTTGAGGACGGGCTACAGAAGTGTGCCACTGAGAAATGGTTTCTCTGAAGAGATGGAACTTTCTACCCTCCTTGTCCACATCTCTATAAAGAATGTCAAGGTAAGTAGCACAACTGGTGGTCAGTTTATATTAGCCTTTTTAATGTCATAGGCATTTTTAAAGATTTTTGTAAGGGAATGGTCTAAACTCTACTCTTGTTATCGTCTCACGTTGGTCGTTTGAGGTTGAGGATATAACATGGAGCACAGGGGTCTAGATTTTGAAGTTATTTGTGAGGAAAGCATTCTTACCTGAATGTGAAAGAGTACAATTGGCACAAGATACACATAATTTAACACTACACAAAATATTGGATTAGAATATTTCCCTGTCACTGACAGAATTTTCAACTAAGGAAGAGAGAGTTTTCTTCAGCTCCAATATGGTGTCAAGGGAGATAGTGTCGCCAAAATTATACTATTGTCAATGGTATGTACTGTATCCAATACTATTTGTGTCTCGTGCCAGTTTGGAATGGGAAAGATCACATTCAGGTGAGCCTGCTATCCTCACAAAATATCCTAAAAACCTTCTTGACCTTTTTAGGCACCATCAGGGTTTAGAATCAATTGATTATGATTGAAAGTGAGAGAACTGTAACCATTAGTTTTTAGAAGTGTGTAACACTGATGGTGAATTAATATTCCTGACTGCCTCAAAACTAAAATTCCTTTGTGCCCCAGTGACCTTTTTTATTTGTATAGTTCTTGGCTTTTCAAGTAGTACATTTAAACAAATATCATAACACAATTAACACTGTGCACAGTGAGCACTTTTTCCTATCAACGGGAGATATCGTTTTGATATAGTTTTTGATCGTACCGACCACTCGATTCTTTATTGCACAGCCGATACCGAAGAGAAAGAAACGAAAGAACAATCAAAGCTTTTAAGACCATTCAATAGTCGATAAAAGATTTTTATTTTACGAACTGATATCCTTCCCCGTGGACGGATGTCCTTATTCCTCAGCTCACCAAACGGGGGCTGCCAGATGTTCATCCGTCTACCTGCGTTTTACCTTTTACTACTGCGCATCTTTTTGTTTGGGGTTTCACTCACAAAGCGAACTGTAATAGTTTGGCTTTGAGGAGGGTGCTAGTCTAGTGGTAGAGTGTGGGGCTTTGGTCCCTCAAATCTTGGCTTTAGTCATGCCAATCACCAATGGATTTATTTAAGCGATAATGCTGCCGCAACCCACTAAGCCTAGTCGGAAGGAATGTTAAAACGGTTCTGGGATGTAAAGGTGGGACATAAACATGTAATATTTGGCAAATGAGTTTTGTCTGAATGATGGTTTTTTTACGTGTTGACAGGAGGGAGGAAGTGAGTTTGACACCCCAGTGACTGACTGCTGATCCAAGACTGACTGGCTCCAAGATGGGCAAACTTTACCTCAGGTTATGTTTCCTGTATGGTTGCTATTTAAACGTTTATTTATCGTATTTTACAATTTTTAAAGTATTCTCATTGGAGTTAAACTTTGACGGTTGTGCTTTCAGGTCTTGATGTTTATTGTCTCAGATGTTGAACTTTACAATATTTTATGGAGGGATCTACTATTTCTCTATCTCCCTTCCCATATCAGTATAGACTTCAAGAATTTTTTATCGTAAAAGAGTAAGAAACAAAATTAATCAATACAACCTTTGACTATTAATACAACTAGACATTTCATCTCATGTTAAAGTTGTCGCCAGTTTTGTAATCAGAATTGTCGTAATTGATGTGAGCAACCATAAGATGATTTGATTTGATTTGATGCTATTGTAAATTACTAATTTCTGTAGAATAGGCAAACTTGTTTACCAAGTCAATTTGAAGGAACGACTTATTGTGAGCTATAGCAGTAATATGCCACAATCTACAAATATATTAGAAAATAGAATTCAATAGCGCATTCTGTGACTGGTCTCATACAAAATATATTTAAAAAATTGGCAGAGGGGGTGTCTAATTCAGTATCCAATAGTCAACGGTACAACCAAACCAAGCAATCAAATATCAAGACATAAGGTACAAGTTCTTTTAAAGTAAAATGAAACTAAATGAATCAAACTTTTTTATTGGAATTATAACTTTCAGTAGAATCACTAAATTGCAAACAAAATCAAATAAAAACTCAGATAAATACCCTACCTAATGTAGTGTGAATCCTAATCATATATAGTGCAGATTTAAAATATTTATACCAAATAAATTATGTGTTTGTCTCTAATAGGGTAAATTGCAATTTTAGAATTATTTATGTTTATGTATATTTGTGTTGGTTAATTAAATGTATGTGTAAGTTTGGATGTAATGTCCACGCTCTCTTTATATAGTCATTGTTATGATCAACTTGTTAGCTCTTTAAGAAAATATTTGACTAGGAAAAAGAAAACTTGATGTTAAGGCAAATAAACGTAACATACATTTCTACATTTGATCTATTTCAGTATTAAAATTTAACTGAGTGGTGGTCAGAATGCATTGGGCTTGGAAGACATCCTGTCCATAACCAACGCCTTTTAGCGTTGAACGTACAAATCTAAAAACCACTTGAAGCTTTTGATATATCTAAAAGCTTTAAATAACAGGTCTATTTAGTAAAAATATTCTACAATGGAACCTCTAAAAATACAAAAAAAGAACAATAAATTTTCAAATACTTTTTTAGTTACCATATTGGGTATGTTTATTCGCCTTGCCAAATTGAAATTGTAATAATCTATCAATACCACAATGTGCTTCCATTAAATTTAGTTAAGTATATTAGTATAGATTTAGGCATTTAGATTTCATCTGTGTTTGTTTTGCATTTTTCATCATCAAATAGGGTCATGCTTGGTATTAGAACAAATTTATTTTTAACACTCTGTGTTGGCCAATGCTGCAAACTATTCTTACCTTTTATTAAATGTTCTATGGAGTATTTCTAAATTGTACTGAAAAATCTCAAGATTTCCAAAGGTTTACTTTTGTACAGGGTGTTCTTTTTTTTCTAAACCCAAATTACAAGTTAAGTACTGTGAGACCAACTACAAAATGAGCTCATATTTTGGTGTCCCTGTTTTCTTTACTTCATTACCTATCAGCTGATATTGAATCGTTGTATATTTATGATGTTTATTTGGGAATTTATTGTGAACAAGACTTAAAGCTGTGTCATAGACTAACCAACACAAGGAGACTTCATCCCGTCCCATTTTAAATTTTGAAGCTCGTTTTACGTCTCTAGTTCATGTTTAGTAACACTGACCGCTAGTGTTGACGAAATTTTGTTTCTATTATTTTAGTGTTAATTTCATGATTTGCGCTTTAACCCTTAGAGTGCCAGGAGAGAAATAAAAGTAACGCTCAAAAAATGCCGATGATTTTTCCCGAAGGTCGCGCTAAAAATGCCGAGCGCAATCTAGCGATTTTTAGGTTAAAATTTCGTAAAAATCGAATTTTCGATATTTCGACCAACGAAAATCGATGTATCGCATCTAGTAACTTTCGACTCAATCTTAATATATGGGTTAAAAGAATCCGAGTATCCATTCGGTTGTTATGACAACTGTTAGATCATTACGAAACGTCCGGTCAGCCGGACGTTGGCACTTTTGGCTCGTTCTAAAAATGTCCGGTCGGCCGGACGTCGGCACTTTTGGCTCGTTTTAAAAACGTCCGGTTCCCCGGACGTTGGCACTCAAAGGGTTATTGTTTGGTTGATATAACTATTGGACGAGTTATTGTTTACGAGTAGATAGTTTTATTTGGTTAAACAAGGTTTTACGTGACTAAAATAACAAGAAACTAATTGTAAACAAAACACAACCTCTACAGTACACCGGACAGAACTAACAATAAAATTGGCTTCAGCTGTTCCATATGGATTAGAAATCTACTAAGGAAGTACGTTTTATCTATGTTTGTATTTCACAAGCTCAAAGAATACAGAAAATTATATTATAAAAACTACATTATTGGTTTTATTCCGAGAAAGGTTTGAAATTACGTTTTCAGGTGTGATTTCGATATATGATAAAACGACAGTTCATAGATTTGTCAAAAATTTAAGGATACCAGATAAAAAAAAACAAGAAAACGTCTTATTCATTTTAAACCGCCAATAACACTAAAACGCAGATAGGGCCTAACTATGTAGCAATGAATATCAGCTAATCGGCCAATATAACCAATAAAGTAAAGAAAACAGTAATACCAACTTAAAAGTAATTCTTTCTACCAACATCAATGTAATTTTCTTACTGTTAAGTGTCTATGACATTGGGAAATGATTAAATGAGCTCGTTTTGTCATTAAACATGGTCTCACAGTAGACCTACTTGTAATTATTTGGGTTGCATTAAAACACACGATATTACTATGTAGAGAGACATTTACTTATTCGTAAAATCACACACTGTACAAGTTTACTGTGGTTACTGTTACTGTAGTAAATATTCCATTGCCATAACCTCAAATAAATTTTACAGCTATAATGTATCTCTTGGTTCTCCGAAAACAAGAAAGAATGGTTTTAAAATTAAAATGTAATGTTACCACTACCGGGAAAATCCACAATAGATATTCTTCATAGCTTACTAGGCATCAGAGGGGATATATAAATTCGAATAATAAGTTTCAACTTGCTGGTTTTTTTAAACTCAATAGTGTTTCCAGTTGTCAAATCACTTTTTATGTATACACCGGTAGTTAAGGAAATTAATTGGTTATTTAATTCAACTTCGCCATGTTAATTGTTTAAGAAATGAATCATTTTTATTTAAACTAGAAATAATCATAGTCTCAAACTTCACAATCAATTTTTGTAAATTTTTAACCTAGTTAAGAAGGTGACTAAACTGTTTCAGGTCAAATTAAATTTAAGTTTAAAACTAGTGTTTTAAAAATAATGTTTTTGTTTTTATACTTGTCATTTGTAGGATAAAATGTTTATTTTATTAATATTTTATCAATGATATAGTATCTATGGGGTTTTTGATTGCTTTCAGTTAAGTTTCCATTTCTTTAAACCGAGTGAGATTCGTGCCTGAAGTTTGTATGAATGACAACAGTTTGCAACTATCCTGCCGCTTAATTTAAACACTTAAATACTTAAGTTTTAAAAGAAAACCAGATGTGGGGTATTGATACCCAGCATATGTGCCTCGTATTTTTTAAGGGGTGGCAATTTGGTAAAAGTGCACAATAGTTTAAACAATGAACATAACATGCAACTGTCTTTGTTGGAAAAGCTTTTACCAATACAGAGGAAGAATCAGAGAATGTTCTCATATTGATAACTGTTTCACGTTCAGGTATACCATAGTTTGTAGTGTTAGGAAGGGCTGTCATCTAAAACTGATTTGAATATAGTAAGTGGTTGAAGAGCGAGTGACAATGGATCCACCTTAACAAGTAGATGCAATGTGAATCAGAGAGTCCATGATTCAGTCGGGAGCATAACAGACTGCAAAAGCAAGGCAGCGATGTGGATTTGCGTTCCATTCATCAGTACAGTTGCTTGCAATGTGTCCATTCTCCATTTGCTTAGCTTCATATGTCCCATACATAGGCCTGTGGCCCACATGGATGGACAAATTCGGGAATAAAGTAAACAAACCTCTTAAAAAACATAAAAAAATACTGTAAAAGCAACTGCGGTTGTTAGTCAAAGCAGCGTACGGTTGAAATCATACACTGATAATCCTTTGTCCTACTGTTTCAGCCTGTACGTATCTTATCATTTAACTGATTCAGAGCAGTTATATAATTTTTTTTTGGTTTCTTTACCGGTAGTCTTTGTTTTGTAGAGTTTCACTTGCTGTGCTTTGCCAGAACGCATCTACTGCATGCTGCAAAAACGGTTTTACCTTCTTTTAAACTTAACAGTTTATTCTTTCTAGATAACTGACCCCACCTTTCTCTGTGTTTTAATAAACACGGTGGTCTTCCTTACCTTACTTCCTTGGCCACTGAAACCTAAGCAGTATTTTTACCTTGCTAACAATACTCTTCTGTTCCATCCCTAAATTTAAAAATTCAAATACTAGTTAACTTTTTAGTCCCCACCAAAATTTGATATTTTATCAGAGAAATCATCAGTAGTTTATCATCACCAATGTTTTGTTCTTAGTCATTTGTTTTTAAATTTGGAACTTTAAAGTTAACTGAATGATAATGGCCCGATTAAGATTTGTACAATGTTGTAAAATTAGGAGTTACAAATATCTATGAAACTATTTCTTAAGTCTAGTGTTGTATTTAAGTTACCTAATTTTACATTAGGGCATAATTCACTGCTTGTAAATATTGAGTGCAACATAAACTTTGTATAATTCATTAAAAAGTAGAGGGATATTTTTATTTAAACATGAATGATGGTGCTAATATTGTTTATTGTACAGGTGAAAAGATATATTTATAAGTTTATCATGCTTTGATATGAGAAAGCTTTAAGGAACACAATTTTCCCCTAAAAATTGTAGTATACATTATTTATTAATATGGTTTACATCAAAAGATTTTCTGAACAACTTGTAAAAAGAAATCTAAATTAAATTACTGGGTACAGAAGCCCAGATAAACTAGATTCAGATTATAAATTGATGCTCTACTGTAGTTGTTCATCGATTTAAATGAAATGAAAAATGAAATGAAATGAAAAATCCTTTATTTTTTCAGGCAAAGTTAGGGCCACATGGCCCTTTCTTACACTTAACCTGACAAGTTTTAATGTTTGTAATGCATGTTGGTTTAAGTTTAAGAAATATATTTGCTGAATTGATTGCTTGCTGAATACATTACACCTCTAAGTTATTTATTTAACACATTTCTTTACTACTTAGGTTTTATTTGATTTACTTCTTGAAATACTTTTTTATAAAACTATTGTGTAATTTTATGTATAGATGTATATTACATTTTGTAACCTATATTGCAACTGTTTGTGCCTTAAGTAGTATTGTTATATTTATCAAATGAGCCTGAGGACAGTTAAGTTGTATAAAACTATTTAAATAGTTGTCAAGTTTCACAAACTATATAATCATGTTTCTGTTTGTTTACTTTCTACCTGGAAACTGTCTCTAAATATGTGATCAAAGCATTTTATGTAACTATGTTAAAAGTTGAAAACTATATACATGTTAGTATTATGATTACTGAATCTGCAAGATTGTATCAATAAAATATTTTATCTACCTTCCATTTGTTTATTCACTTATTTTTCATTCCTTCTTGTAACTACGTGGGTAAACGCCTTTATCTTATTTATTTTTTATATAATTTTTTTGGATCTAACTTTTAATGTTGGGTTTTTTTTCTAGTTAACTTGTAGTTCTTACATATCTGTTGTATTCAGATAAGATACATGTTGTACCAAACTGAATATGTTTGCTAAATCCTAATATTCCTTAAACCCTTTTCTAGTGTATTTCCCTTTGGGTAAATCACACCGAAAGCGAAGTAGCCTAGGTTTAAAGGTAACAGCTTGGTGTAGGATGGCTATACTTCGCTTTGTTTTGTGAAAATGTACACCGTTTGTTAAATTGTAAGGAGGGTGAAAATTGTCACTGTTTCTCAGCAATGCATTAACTTATCAAAATTTTTTGCTGGCCAATATGTGGCGAGTTACCAAGAGTTGGTAAAGTGTAAAACGATGATTAGTGTAACCGGTAACAATTTAATAAGGTTTTAACAGGTAATAGGTGTTTACATTGAATCAAAGCAAGACACACTAAAATGATATTTATTTACAATTAATCAGTGAAAGGTACAACAAAGCACTAATCCTTATTAGTGGGTTTGGATTCATGAAACATGTCTGTTAAATCTTTTGGAACACGAAAAAAGTAACTAAAGAAAAATGTTTTCCTGTTACCACTTAGAACATAATGACTGTCTTGCACCATCACATAGAACGGGTTTCTAAACTTGGTCGGGTTAGCACTTGTGAAATGTACTTGTCTCAAAATTGGGAGGAAAGGATTTAAATAAACACCTATGTATTCTTTTTTTGATGCATGCTTGTAAATTCTGAAGGGATATTTTAACATCAGTGAAGAGCCAGCAACCACTAATGATAGGAGTGCTAAGGAGAAGACCCAAAGTTCTTGTTCGGGATACATGAATTTAATATTACCCTTACCTATAGGCCTTCCCATTTCTAATTCGTCTTTATTGCAATGTCTGTAAACAACCAGTCCCAACAAGCCAGCACCCATGGATATAAGCACTGGGTACCCAATTCTGAACGTTAACTCCCACGTTGCTTTGTAAATCAAATGATAGTCAGGTGGAACATTATCTTTCGATTTCAGCTTCGATATACCTTTCTTCCCTTGGTCTATCAGTTTTCCAAAGTCTTCAAGTCTGCTATTCACAATTGGAGATCTATGAAATTGCCTTATAGAGTGAGTAAGTGTGCTGTGAGGGAAGCTTTTAGGGATCCAGTTGAATCTGCAGAGTAATCTGTTACACATCACCAGAACACCTACAGCCATATTTCCAACACCTGAAAGTAATAGGAGGTTTTTTTTACTTTAAACTAGTAGAAGGTAAACGTTTGTTATAAATCATATCAAATTCAGCCTATATAACAAACAACAATAGGCCTATCCTTGACTTAAATTTTTTGACAAATGGCCTTATGGTCTAAGTTTTTAGTGGATTATGTGAATTTTGGCATAAATACCATTGTCAGATTCATGTAAGAACCATTCTTGCTAGAAGAGGTGTGTCAAAAGTTCACAAACAAAATATGCAAAACACTAAGTTAGTCGACTGCACAGAGAAGTAAGATAAGTTACAGAGGAAACATTCAATCGTACACATAAGTGATGTATAGGGCAATGACCCCCTTGGTCTCCTGCTCTACAACGATCACGAAGGAGGAATACCTTGGGCCCTGTGTGATTTTCACACAGCTCGCCGTTCAGGCTCTCCCTTCCTTGTCACAAGTAACCTATATTTCTGCCCCAACATACTCGAAACCATAGCTGAAAGCGCATTGTTGTCCTATAAGCTTATATCCTCTGTACCTTAATTTATCTCTGTCGACCTTATTTTGAATTTAAATCAAAATAGATTTCTTTCATGAGTTTTTCTTGCACAGGCAAGACATATGGAAACGCGTCAGACGTGTGTCGACTTCTCGACACATGTCTGGCACACCTCCATATCGTCGTCCTGGCATAACTAACTTATTCCCAGTTTTTTTTTTTTAATTTAATTGTACTTTTTTTTTGTATTTAGTTTAATTGTAATCTGGAACCCCTCCAACTAACTTGGTCAATAAGGTAGGTAATGGTTGGGATAAATTAGTTGATCCTAGTCAGTTACAAAACTACACTGATCATCTCGCTCTATTCATTATTTATTATTATCTCCGCTTCCGCCTCCTCATGTATGACACTACAGAGGGCCACGGATGATGAGTGTCACTTCCGGTGCTGCCCAAGGTTCCATACTCGGCCCAGACCTCTGGAATGTCGTGTATGACAGCCTCCTGAGGTCTGAAATGCCTGAGGAAACTGTTTTGGTTGGGTACGCAGATTATAGCTGCACGTAGCGTTGAGCTGGTTCAGCTAAAGCTGAACCGAGTTATACGTACCATAAACGCATGGATGACAGACCACGGTCTCTCGCTTGCTTTGAGCAAAGCTTAGATCGTGATATTAACAAAAAAACGGATTGACACCATCGTGCCGTTGAGGGTAGGGGCCGTCGAAGTCCAGACCGTTCGTTCTGCCAAGTACCTTGGAGTTATGGTGGACAGCAAGCTTAGCTGGCAGGATCAGATTTTCCGTACGGCGGACAAGGTCGCTAGGGTGGTCTCCTCTCTAAGCCGGTTGATGGCCAATGTCGGAGGTTAATGTCTTCTGTCCAGTCCGTACTCTTGTACGGTGCTGAGGTGTGAGCAGACGCTCTCAATAAGGAGGTATAGAGGGATAGGATGCGGCTCACCCAAGTGCAGCGTTAGGCAGCAAGAGTTGCATCCGCCTACCGAACAGTGTCCGGGCTTGCCGTCCTGGTGGTTGCTGGAGTCATCCCCGTCAAACTTTTGGCGGCGGAGAAAAAGGCAATTTATCAGCGCCGTGGGGACGACCAGGCACGAACAGAGGAACGCACCTGCACCTACCAGCTGTGGCAGGAGAGCTGGGAACAGGAGACTCGGGGACGCTGGACCAGGCGACTGATACAAGTTTAACCTTGGGTTAATCGGCGGTGCGGAGAGGTGGACATCCTACCTCACCCAATTTCTGATGGGTCACGGCTTTTTCCGGTCGTAGGTACCTGTTCAGATGGGAAAAGCCGTGTCACCCGATTGCATATACATTACATCCAGGGTATTCTCCGCACCAAGAAGCTCGACCTTGACCGGGATGCGGTGTAGATCATAAAGTATCTAAATGCCAAAAACGGTGAGAGCACTGAGGGCTTATTTCACATGTTGGCCTGACTTGAAGTAATGTGACAAACAATTCCAGGTCTGTGTCCAACAGAGTGGAGGGGGGTTTTTAGTGAGTAGTCTGTGATAGATTCAGGAGTCTCACTACAGGCTGGCTACCCGTGTGCGTAAAAGCATTTTCCCTCCTCTCCCTTAAAAAAAATCTCGCTCCATTCTACACTCATATTAAATTTGGGTAAAAATATGCACCTAGGTGGTGTCCCCATCTCGATTGATAATGAATAATCCTCTAGGCCTAAGTAATGTTAAGTTTGTTTTGAATAATTAAACGTTTTGGTAGGACTATTATCTACTTAACTATCATACTGAGCAATAACTTACCTGAGCTTCCTTTTCAACCTTGGCCTAGTAAAATTTCAGTACAAACTCAGCCAGCCTGTATAATTGGGTAGACCTATTATTGGGTACATTTACAATTGCATGGTTTTAAACTGTGAAAGCATAATGTTGGCTAAGATTTAAGATTGCTTGAGACTTCAAACAATTTAAGGCCTGCTATTTACTGGAGTTAAAAGCTAAACAGTGCTAAATGTGCATACATTTTATACTTTTTGGCTATCTAAAAGCAAGAAGACATAAACTTAACCTAAACCACAAGAAGATTGAAGTTTGCCCATCCATCCGTGTATTGTATTCCGTTTCCGTCGTCGTCTGCTGTTGTGCTGTCTGCTCCTGCTGCTGCTCAGCTGCTCGAACATTAGTTTTGGAGGGATAGCCATCTGTCTAAGCAGTACAAAATGAAAAAAAGCATCAAAACAGGTGACAGTGATGTCAATGTCATATGTGATGACTGATAAAAAAAAACCATTCGCAACCTCAACTCAACTAAAAATAGTGATGGGCGATACGGACGCGTATCGCGATACAGCGATACGATACGTATCGGAAAAAAATATCGTATCGCCGTATTGAATCGGGCGTCTGTATCGCGATACGCGAATCGTATCGTCAAAAATATCGAAAAACGATACGTATCGTATCGTTTTCCCCCTCCCCTACCTAACCTAGAAACGGCAAATTTATTCTATATAAGTACCTGGGGACCAAGCTTTGCTCGGGGAAAATCATTAGTTTACTCTGAAAACAGTCTTAGTATTGCAGATACATTCATTAATCCATTTCCACACTCGACACTGCTCACTGCTCGCCTTTACTACTTCCTTCACAACTCCCTACGTCTTGGACCTGTTTCCCTATTCTTCCCATAGAATTTTAGGATTGCAGATACATTAATGTAATTGCCACAGACAGTTCCCACCACGGCCGCCTACACTCTGCACTGCTAGTGCTAGATAGCAGATAGCACGCTAGTGGAAAGTAAATGGACTGGACTGGGATGGGACTGGTACATTATCAAGTAAAAACCAAAAATACAGACGTCAAAAACTCCTATTTCAAACCACTTTCAAGTTTTTCAAACTACACATCCACAGAGTACAGATTTTGCAGTTTGCTCGGCCTGCGCAAAAAAAGCTTAAAAATATCGTTTTGACATGAATCGTATCGCTCTATGTGCCGATATAAATACAAATATCGTTTTAGGCGATACGATACGTATCGTTTTTCAAATATCGTATCGAAATATCGTATCGTCCCTCGCGTATCGCTATATTCCGATACGATACGATACGTATCGCACATCACTAACTAAAAACAAGACGATAAGGATAAGCAGACGATACGGGTACGATTCTACGATTACGATAGTGATAGTGTTAGTTGGCCTAGCTGTTAAAGAGGTGGACTTTTATTTTTGCGAATTTTTATTTATTTAGGCTAACACAACAAATAAGTTACAGCAACTAGCAACACCACTCATTTAGGCCTACTCTCTTCTTATTTACTTCCCATCCGATTTCTCAGATCTCGCACGCTTAGTTCCGTGTTTGGAGAACCAATAATATAGTGCATTTTTTTAGTGATCTTTTGGCTAGCATAGGCTTAGTTTATAAAATTTAATTTCTAATCGTTTATATTAGGTACGTATAGTCCTACTTGAAGAGATGCCTTCTAACAAAGTTATAAACATTGTACTTAACGAAAGTGCAGTAATTGAAGAACTAAGCAAACTTGTGGAAAGGTTGGCTAATGATGCAATCAAGAGAGATGATGTTTTCAAAGTAGGGTTATCAGGTAAATATGTATTTTTTTAAAGATGATTAGATAAGAAGATATTTAACTAACATAGCCTAGTCCTATACCTATAGTAGGCTACTATCTAGAGCCCTCTATTAAATTTGGTCTTACTGTAGTCTTGATACCTAGGGCCTAAAACTTTAAGGCTAGGCCTACCTTCTTTCCACGTATATTTACCCTAAGAAGGGTTCCAGCTACCCTAAGAAGGGTAGCTGTGACCCGCTAGTGTGAAGGGCTCCATATAGCCTAAGACTCGATGAAATTTTACGATCTGTTGGCTATGCAGTCCTAGGCCTAGAAAGACTTTAACGAGAAGGCGTTATAAAAAGCTCAAGCTAGGTCTAGGCCTACCTAATTTTTGTTTTCACCAGTCTTTAAAATTCGAGTTCACAAATCACTTTTGGCTTTAGGCGGTTGATAGGACTGAAAATCTGTGTCAATGTTAGGCTACCTAATGTAGGTTAATGTAGGTATGGTATAACCTAGTCCAGCGCTACTGAGCCACTGACTCGCTAATAAAAGAGTTCCTTGATTAGAGAGCTTTTGCTTGCAGGCAATTATCAGTGAACATTGTCTACTACTGTACTCTGCTTTCGACACAGTACTTGAGAGATGACTGTATTATTTTGTTGTTTTGTTCTTGTGTAGGCCTATTGTATTTGTCTTTTATTTGTTTTTATATTTTATGTAATGATGAATTTGACACCATTCTTGTATATACAATTTTATATACTAATGAATAAAGATGTTTTGAATTGAATTGAATTAAACCATAACATTCTTCTAACCAAACTCCAACTTATAGGGTTCTCTGACAATTCATTAAAATGGATGAGATCATATCTTCAGGGCCGAAAGCAGTGTGTGTGTCATGACAACTTGAAGTCCGACTGGAAACATGTTCCCTGTGGAGGTCCTCAGGGTTCAATTCTTGGTCCCCTGTTTTTCACAATATACATAAATGACATAACTACAGTACCACTGCACCACGTAAAGTTTCATTTTTATGCTGACGACTTGCAAAATCTGCTCTCATTTTAAAGTCAGTCATATGAATGAAATTATGTGTGTGATTGTGTTTTAGGGAAATACATTTATGTAATGTTGTTACACCTAATTGTTTATTTTAATCTTTGTTGTTTTATTTTGTTAATGTTTACTATTACTGTTAGTTTTTTAGAGGTTAATTGTAAGAAAGGGCGTGAGGTCCTAAGTTCGCCTCAATAAAGAAGGATTTTCATTCATGCATTTCATTCATTCATTTCATTTCATTTCATTCATTCATTTCATTTCATTTCATTACTCTGCAGTCGTCTGCTGACGAGATTGGAGAATTTGCTGCCGCAGCTGTGAATTCGGTTTCCACCTGTGCAGGTGCAGCTCTAGAAGCCACAGTTGTTTAAATTTCCTATCTGAAAAACTAACAACATAAATGATCATTTCCAGGTGGTTCACTAGCAAACTTTCTATCTAAAGGTCTACCAAACATTACAACAGAATGGTCTAAGTGGAAACTATTTTTTTGTGATGAAAGAGTCGTACCGTTAGATAGCACTGACTCAACTTTTGGTGTGTACAAGAATTCTCTAATAGGAGCTGTCCCACTCTCAGAAGACCAATTTATCAAAATTAACCCACAGCTTCCAGGTAGGTAATAAAACTGTTAATTTTATTTCCGCTTTTCTAGCCTGATTTCTTTTATGAATTACGCTTTTCTTCTAGACATACTTATGAAAACTTACGTTACCATATTAACAATGAACAAAACTAATTGTTGATAAAATAATAAAAATCATATAAAGCAATGCAATTTTTAATTTAGCTGGTACCTCAAATGAGAAGTTAATAAGAATGATATAAAATATCTCTAAATCAAAGTATTTACCTTTTTGTTGTTTTGTACCTATATCTCTTGTTTTTGATTTTGCTAAATGCTGATATAAAACTGTGTGATCACAATAGATAAGTCATCACAAGGCAAAAAAAGCTTAATCACACAGACTAATGCTAAAATTGGTCCACACAGCTGAGGAGGCTGCTAGGGATTACATACAGAAGATGGCTGTGCACTTTCCCCCCGATGAGCTTCCCAGGTTCCATCTGTTGCTGCTAGGGATGGGTCCTGATGGACACACTTGCTCACTCTTTCCTGGGCATCGACTGTTAGAGGAGACATCGGTCTGGGTCGCTCCAATCACAGATTCACCCAAACCCCCTCGTAAGTATTTCAGCGTAGTTTACTGTGCTTGTTAATAAAAGTGTCGAGAAATGCATTGCTGTTAACTTAGGAAAACGTTAAGCTAATTAGCTAATTTATATCAAGTATTAAATATCACACAACATTTAACTGAGTGTATTTTTTGTTTGTCTTGATTAAAACAGCTGTTATTGCGAATTCTTTTTACAGCAACGCGTGCTTTTCATTTAGGCCCTATACAGTCCACTACAAACAATTACATCCATTTTAATTTGCTTAATATTGTACGCCGTGCGTCAACACTTGTTTATGAAACGTACACTACAAAGCAATAAGAGGTGTTTAGCGTTTTGGAGATTGCTTAAGCTGGAGCGTATGGGACTGTTCCTCACCCAAGGGGCAGTTAGGACGAGGAGAATCCTTTCTAAAATCTTTTTGGAAGTTTCGCTGAAAGTTTGCTACAGCTTCAATTATCCAAAGAAAAATTGTTTGGGTCACTAGTAATAATATAATTGTATAATTTCAGCGTCTCGTGTTACCCTTACCTTCCCTGTGGTCAACAACGCGGAGGTTTGTGCTTTTGCCGTGTCTGGTCAAGGAAAAGCAGAGATGGTGAAGGTAGGTTATGAATAGTCTTATTCACAGCGAAGTAAGATACAGAGGTAACACACTTATGGAACAACTGTGCGCTTTTAGCTCTGGAATGGTGGGGCGGAAATATACTAGTAATACGGAGCAAGGAGGAGCTCGAACAGCTGGTGTACAATAGCAGTTGTAGCGCACTGGCTCTTCTTACAGCATGAGTGCTGTAGTAAGTGATGGTGAGGGGGGAGAGGAGATTGGAAGAGGACGACCAATACAATTTGCTCTAGCTACAAGCGACTGGTGATAGACACGACTTAAGAGTCCTTGGAGGCTAGCGGCGATCTTGGATGGTTTCAAACCTCTGCTAAAGAGTTCATTATCACCAAAAAATAGTTTTTCAAACATCAAACTGATTACACTGTAAATATCTAGTAGGCCCTATACTGTAAGATTAGAAATGTTGTTTGTTGCTATTAATGTATTTCCAAGGGAGTCCATGGAAGCCAACGGCCATCTTAGATTTGCCCGCCATAAGAGCAATGTTAATTTTGTTATTTTCAAACAGCCGCTGAAGAGTTATTTACCACCTCAATTTTTTTTCAAATACCAAAGTAATTATAATTTAAATATCTAGTATACTGTGAGATAACTAATTTGCTGTGTTGTTTTTTAAATTGGTTTTTGAGTTAGGCCCTAGCACGTCTAGGCTCCAAGGACTCT